GGATTAGTGAAGACGGAGGTAGTGTTCCAAAAACTGCGGCGGATGCTCTTGGAATGTGCAATAAAGATATAACACCAAACATTTTCAAACTCCTAGAAATATTGGTCGTTCTACCTGTTTCAACGAGTGCAAACGAAAGATCCTTTTCGACTTTGCGCCGTTTGAAGACTTATTTACGCAACTCAACGGGAAATAATAGAATGAATGGATTGGCGCTCTTAAGCATTCATAGAAAATTTACCCCAGCTGTAGAAGACATTTTAAACGAACTTGCAAAAAAACCCCGTCGTTTGGATATTACTGTATAAATCAAGAAATTTTTAGCGTGTTTGTATACTGGTTTAATTCCCTATTTGTAGGTAAGTTATTTTTTGGTTAAATTCATTGATTTTCTATGGAAATTATGAACCCCCCTCCCCTTGAAAAAATTCTGCGTACGCCACTGTCAGAGAAAGTAAGTTTTGGTGTCTGATTTCACAACTTAAAATATCCTCTGCACTTATTAATTAGCATATTTGAGATCCCCCTCTCAAGCCATTAAGTTTGAGTCTTATAACGTGAAAATCTGATCATTAGATTAAAAGTTATTCAGAGTAGTCCGTTTTTTTTCTTCTTTTTCGGTGCACTGTACATTACTGACTACAAGTGATATCACTGTGCTTTTAAGTCGTACACCAATGGTACCTCCCAAAGCTATCAGAAGAGCGTAAATCACATGCAGCGAGCTTAATATTGCTTGCACTTTTTTTGCACGTGAAAAAAAAACCCATCAGAGTAATTTGTTGCTGTTGTAGTTCATATACGTCACGCTAGAGTTGCACAACGGGCTATTGGTGACGGTCTGGGAAACATCCCTGAGGATGATCCGAAGACATGCCGTCGCAATTTTGATCCTCTGCAGAGGCGATGGCACCCCCACCTCGGTAGCCCGACAACCTGCGCGCGAAATCAAGCGCTTTACGGTAGAACAGTTTAACGAGGACCAATACCTCACACCCTCGGTCCTTAAGCAGAGTGATCCAAGTGATCACCCACCCGCACACTGACTGCAACCAGTGATGCTTGACTTCGATGATCTGCTGGTAACTGTCTTAACGATTAGTCCACTGGGGGGAGAGTAATTTGTAAGAATAACACAATTAGAATGGTCTCTTAAAGGGTCGCTCTCACTGAATGTAATTTTTTTCGCATGCGAATGAGAACCTGATTGGCGAGCATTTCACGAGAAAATATTTTCCACCCATCTGGTTCGATTTCGCATACGAAATTCTCAATCTCATTTTTCTCATTCTCAATCACATTTCTAATTTTTATTTGCGATTTTTTCACATGCGAAAAACTTGTATCCAGTGAGAATGATTTTTTAAAGTGAAATTAAAGTGAGAATGGTGCCTGTCATGCCAGAAATAATATTTTACTTTGTGCAGTTGTCCCGCAGTGGACTGATCGTTAAGACACGGTTCCCAGCAGATCACCGAAGTCAAGCATCGCTGGCTGCGGTCAGTGTGCGGGTGGGTGACCACTTGGATCAGTCTGCGTAGGGACCGAGGGTGTGCGGTATTGGTCCTCGTTAAACTGTGCTATCGTAAAGTGCTCGACTTCGCGCGCAGGTCGTCGGGCTACCAAAGCGGGGGTATCATCCCCTCCGCAGAGGATCGAAATTGCGATGGCATGTCTTCGGATCATCCTCCGGGATGTTTCCCAGACCGTCGCCAATAGCCCATTGTGCAGCTCTAGTGCGACGTAAATTAACAACAACTTTGTGCAGTTTGTTAAAAGTAAAAAACAGTTTTTTGTAAATTTTTCTTTTGATACTGGGTTTGAGGATATTTTATTTCCCACCAATCAGATCATTCGTGCCGGTATATTTGTTGGCATTCAAAGCCAAGATGGCTCAGAGTATAAATATGAGCGACTGTGATCTCACATCCGGGACACTTGTGATATTAAATAGATACATTTTTAATAACTTTATTAAAAATACTTTTTTATGTCGTGATCATGGATAGATACTTAATCAGAACTATTATGTGCATTAAATTTCAGTTTGGTCGCTAATATATTTTATTACTGACCTGTATAAAGCTTAACTATTGTTAATGTATCAATCACAATTTATTGGTATTTTAATAATGATCCTTCCAATGAATCACACAAAAACAATTTTTTTATTTAAATATTTTAAATAAGAAAAATAGCAATACTACCAACAAAACGTTTTTTAAAGTGAAATGTTTTTCGCTGAATTTGCCTGTTTTTATCATGAATTTCAGCTGTATATTACTTGAAAACATTTAAAGTATTTTGATAATATAGTACTTTAAATGGCTTCTAGGTAAGATTTATTCATAAAATATTCATTTTTCTACATTCACCTCGCAATCAACTCTTTATTTATTATGAATGCTTACATAATATCAAATTGTATTGAAAAAAGAATTAATCTAATTGCTTTATACCTAGTTCTGAAGGGATTTAAGAAAAAGAAAAGCAAGTTAGGAGTGATGAAGAAACTCTTTCTTTTAAAAAATAAAATCAAGAGCAGAAATATTTTAGATTTTTAAATTATAACGAACTAAATTATAATGAACTAATTTAAACATCATGATTAGATAGAAAGAGAGGAATCATGTTTCTACTATAAACATAACCATAATTTATAAATTAATTTTAATTTAAATTTTTTATTACTTAATATCCTGCACAAATCGCAATTATTATTATTATAACTCGCGGTTAAATTTATTGATATTCTTTTTAACATATTTAGGATAGTAAATAAGTAATGTTTCTATCTTCAACAGAACTTAATATTTAATTTTATATTTTATGTAATTTTTTAATATGTCTTATGCATATTCCATTCCTTGCAACTCCTTCACATTTATTGTTATTAATTTCAAATATAATACATATAGAAAATAAGTTCTGTTTCTATTTTACAAATGTAATTATAATTTATAAGCCTTATATTTGTAATTTTTTTTTTTGCAATGGAAAAGTACGTAACTTTTTATTCGACCTCCCAAAATTTTGGGCATGTGTGGCGTGCTGTAGCATATATGCTAGCCAATTGCTGAAAAAGTATTTTAGAATTTGGGGAGATTTCTGTATCGTGATCTGTGGCAGAATAATTACCAAGTCTTGGAAACTTCTGGGCAGTGGCTCACGAGAAACTGAAATAAACATCACAGAAGGGACCAACACAAAAGGTATAACTTGTAGCCATCCCGGCAATTATCTACATGTTTTTTTTAAAAATTTTGCAAGTTTAAAATCTATTTGGCACCTTGGCGATTGTAGTTGGCGCAATAGATCATGATACGGAAATATCCCCTAGGATTTTCATGTACCACTTCCTGATAATTAGAATAATTATGACACAGGTTCGAAATCTTAGTTCTGATAATTGTTTGTAAGATCAATATTGAATTAGAATAATCAAACTTAAGCTTTTGTAACATTTGTACTAAATATAATATAAAATGTATGCTAGGTCTATACTTACTATATAACTTATACTTACTATTTAAGCTTTTATAAATTAGTAACTAAACTTATACTTTTATAATTTTTGTTAAATCTCTGTTGTGGTAAATATTTGAATATATTTTATTATGAATTTTAAAAGCTTGTTTACAAAATTTTTAAAGGGGTTACTCTTCATTCATTAAGTGAAATCTATACTTTTTATTACATTCTTTTTGCTTCTTATATATGGTAAAAAAAATAGATAAACATTTCTAACCATTCTAAACTGAATTTTCAATGTTCTACTCCTTTAATTCCAACTCTGAACTTAGTAGTTCAGACTAGAACTATTATTAATTTAAGAAACTGCTCTGCGGGGAAATTTTTAACTAAGTCTGTATGCCTTTGATTGTTCAAAAATTACTATGAAATTGCATTTTAGTAAATTGAGAGGTGAAGCATTAAATTTTTTTTTGGATTTTTTTAAATAAAAACAATGTGAAATTTTTATTTTTATAAAAATCTGAAATGTCTTTTTCATTAAAAATATAGGGTAGTTTTCTGTATCAATTAATGTGTGTGAAAAAATAATAACCAAGTTTTGGTCACTTCCTGTCATTAACTCGTGTGAAACTAAACGATAAAAAATCATAAAAGAGGACCAACTTAAAGATTGTAACTGGCTGCCTCTATACATATCAACCGATGCATATTATTTTATTAATGTGTGTAAGTTTGAAATCCCTTTAGTGTTTGTAATTAGCCTGAACAGGTATCCATATGGAAAACTGCCCAAAATGTTTTAAGTAACTGAAATATAAATTTCTTGACTGAAATTTTGAAAAACTTTATGCTTGCTGGCATTAAACCAAACTCATCCTTAAAGAAAAATGTAATATTTATCAGTTACCTGGTGGCAAGCAAAAAGTCACCAAAAAATTTAGACCTCCACTAACTGTTTTTATTATTTGTTTGTTTTATTTATTTTTTGAACACTGGACAAAAGAGACTTTTACAAATGAAATTAAATTTAAAAAAACAACAAACATAATTGAATTTCTTTGCGCCTGACTGATCGAAAAGTGCCAAAATATATATTTTTTTACTTAATTGTGAAAATAACAATCATTTATTACATTACTGTTTCTTTCAATTTAGGTTAGATCGTTTATTTCTTTTGTTGGACACAGGCTCAACACCATTAACTCGGAAAGCTGCAGCTGTGCAGCTGGGTGAAGTTCAAAAGCTTCATCCTCATGAACTGCATAATTTATTAGCCAAAGTAAATAGTTTTAATTTATTTTCCAAACATCTATGTTAATTTTTTAAAAATTATGTCCTAAAATAAAATTATAAATAGAAACACTTATATTTTTGAAGTTAATATTTTAAGTTTTATACATTATATTTCACTATATTTAAATTATAGCTGCTTTTCAACTTGTAGAAGATTTAATTGTAGCTGTTGTTCACTGTAGAAGATTTATTTATTGTTATTTTACTGTATCATACAAATTTAATTTTTAATCATATCACAGTTGCATTAAACATGTTTAAAAAAAATGTTCTTGAAAATAAATGAATAAATAAAAATTTCAAAAGATTTGAATATTTTGATATCTTGAATTACTACATTTATCTTTTACAGTTTTAAAGTTATTTTTTCAATGTTTATTGAAATTAGTTTGAAAAACAGCTTTAAATTTTCTTTTGCTAGTTAACTGCTATAAGAAATAGTGTTCAGAGTTTATTAACTCCCATTTCTAGTATATTTTTGATCGGAAGTTGCAGATAAACCATTCAAGGGTTGTATTTTGCTTCCAGACTGAAGATTTTTCTTTCCTAATAAAGCTCTAGATTAGCTATTATGAATAACTTGTTACCAGAATCATAAAAAAAGATAGACAATAGACACTTTTAGATAGAAGTAGGTACCAACAGCGCATTCCATTAGAGTTTGGGACCCAAGACTGGAACTCTTTTTACTGAAAGCAGATCCCTGGTTAAAACTTGAATTCTCTGCCTTTTCATTCATTTATCAACATGAATAGTTATAATTATTCTATCGAAAAGTTGACAAAATAAAGAATTTCAAAACAAGAAAAGAGTTATATTTAAATTATCAAGGCTGTTAATTAAATCATTTAGAAAAAGCAACATTGTAATATGATGTTTAGAATAATTTTTATCTCCTCTTTAAGCTGCATATAAAGAAGAAAAAAATAGTTTATATATTTGAGGTTTAGTTATAATTTTGCTTATACTCTTTTTTTGTGTGTGCGTTCAATGGGGTGCATCATAACTAATTTTTCGTGTCCCCTTTATGATTTCTGTCTGATTTGATGGATAAGGCGCAAATACTGAATGACAATGAGTATCAAAAATTATTTTTGGATGTCAAAAAAATAATTAGCCAACAATTATTAGTCATTCTGTTTACATGTTATAATGTGTCAAATACAATAAAAATGGCAGACAGGATATGAAAAATAAGTTATGTCATGTCTCTTGCGCCACATTATTTTCCACTCCAGAAAAAACAAGCAAACAATAATAGCACTCCTGTCGATTAACGTAGGCTAAATTTTAAATGTCTTTATAATTTCTTTTCCTTTGTTATTAATAACTGAAGAAGTACCTAAGCAAATCCAGTATCCTAAGGACGCGTAATTTTCGAAGTCATGCAGGATAACTGTAGATAACGATTTGTACGATTTACCTGTCATTATATTTTTAAACATGGTGATGTAAAAATTTCATTTATTAATCATAACAGTTTTATTTTGTGTTTCTTTTTGCTATAAGTTGATACAATGCTAATATTTCTAAACTTGTTTTTTCGGTTAATACATGACATACATTGTTTTTTAGGTGAAACGTTACATCTACAATTCAAATTGGGATACCCGTATTGCTGCCGGTCAGGCAGTAGAATCCATCATTAAAAATGTGCCAGAATGGGAGCCTGCAAACTATTCCTATGCTAAAAGTAAATTTCTAATCTTTTATTTTTAATACTGTTATAGAATCTGAAAAATGCAGTAGGGAACCAATTATCCGGAATGCAGGGGACCATCGCTTTCCCATATGTCAGAATTTCCCGGTTTTCCACAAAAAAAAAAAAAAAATTCATTCCTTCATCCTACTCCATGATCAGTCTGGCGACGACTGATTTGAGGAGAATTTCTCTGCTTTTTGCAGTTGCACTTTCCCGTGATTACGTCATTCCATTTGGCTTTTAAGCAGGGCTCGAAAAACCGTCCGTCCACGGCGGTCAAAAATTCTCCGCTGACAACGAATTTCTCGAATCTGAAGCCATTTTTTCCGTTAATGTTTGTGATACATTTTCAATTTGTGTTATCTTTCAAGGGTCTAGCGCCTCACTTCTAAAATGACCATCTAATCTAGAACTATTCATTACTATTAGCAACCTTCTCTATTCATTACTATTAGTAACCTAGTATTTCTTTTATTACTGCATAATGTAATCCTAGTATTTGTAATCCTAGTAATTACTAATTCATTGTGTAATTTATATAAATGTTTGTAATAAATAAGAGAAAATTATATTTTTATCTATTTAGAAGCTACGGGTTAGTTTCAAAGGAGAATGGGTACATTGTTGGACAAGTTGTCTTCGGGGACGGGTAAAATTTCTGAGTTTTTTCGAGCCCTGCTTTTAAGCATTGAGAATTTGATGATCTGCTGTTGGTTTTTCTACCAGGCAGAGAGAGCTGTTTTTCCGCATTCAGTTTGCAAACTTGCCATTATATATATTATCCATTTTACATGATGTCACAGAACTTTAAGCATAAGCTATCGGCTTATCTTGGTTTTGTTTGAACATGTCTATTCCAAAGTTCAGCTTTTATTTAAAAAATGTTTTAAATATTTTAGGAAATAAAAATTAAAACTTTAATTAAATTTAATGATTTTTGAACAAATTTCTTCAGAATTAGGCGGCAATGAAAGGGTTGGAACTATTTAGAAGAGTCAATAATTTACTTACAGAAAGTTTTTTAAATTGAGATTTTGTGTTCATTTTATTTTATCTAAGTCTATCTTTCCTTTTCGTTTGAATGAATGGAAAGAAAAAGAATTCCTCCTTTTCATCTACTCAGCTTCTTCAAGGATGACTCAGTCAGTCTTGTTCATAAATCTACCAAGCAAAGTTTTTCCCGGTTTTCTGAAAACCGAATAAACGGTTTTATATTGTACAGCTAACTATACTCTTACTTTATTTTTGATTAAGAAATAGCTGGATTTTAGCCATTTTCATTTTTACTTTTATATTTACATTAGTGAAGTATAGCGTTGAATTTTTTTTTATTCTGTTCACTGATAAGCCTTATATAATGTGTATTTCCCCATTGTAAATCAAAGATCCCACACCTTTCCCTGGTCCCAGCTTCAAGGATGACTGAAATTTCTGCATTTTGCATCAAATGTTCAAATTCAGAAAGGCGGGGAAATCCAGCTAAATTTTCTCCCGTTTTTTTGGATAAAAGGTTCTGTACTGTGTAAATTAACTTCAAGAAATGTTTTAATTATTTATTCACAATGCATTTTAGATGAAAGCTTTAACAAGCCTCAAGATTTGTCATTTACTGGTCGAATGTCTTTTGAAAAGTTTGATGTTAATAAAGTAATGCAAAATGGAAGCAACTTGTTAGCATGTGACAGTGCGAAAATAGAAGAGAAAGAAATTGGTAAAAGCTTTTACACATTTAACTGATTCTTTTTTAATTTTAATGATTAGTTACTAGAAGCAGTTTTTAATATATTGGGGTAGGGTTGTCCAGAAAGTATGTGCCTATTTTGGAGGAAAAATCTAAACAAAGCTCTCATAAATATTGTATCAAAGAGTTTTGATTATTGAAGCCTCATTATAAGACTCTTCAGTTATCTGACACTTACACAGGTATTAAAAGCATTCTGAAAAAAAAGTTATGTTACTCTACTCAGATATGAGATTCTTCCTACTTTCTAAATTTTAGAAGGAAATATTAAATGTCTATTTTTTTTCTACTTTGTTTCGATGTTGTATTTTCTTATTATTTTATTCTTAATAATGATTTATACATAAAGCTTAACATTTTGTTTGTTGGACTGTCAATGTAGCACATATTGTAAAAAAAAAGAAAAAAAAAATTTAATTATTTAAGTGTTTTCTTTTTGTGCAAAATAGTAACACTGTTTATTTTTTTCCCCTATGATGTTTTATTTTTAGTGTGAAAACAAATTAGTTTTTTTTAAATTTTTTTTTTGAACTTAATTATAGTTTCTAGTTATTATCTTAAGTAATTTTACTCATAGTTTAATAATACATAACCTTTAAGAACACTTGTTTATTTTGTTTATGTATTGTACAACCATATCTCATAACCTTTCTTTTTTTTTAAAAAAAAGAAGGGAAAAAGGCAAAATAAAAATAACCATTAATGGATTAAGCTTATATATCACTTTTTTTATTTGTGACATTTTGTTTATTTACACATAATCTGTGATGGTATTTATACAATGGTTGATGAAATAATAATAATTATTTTGGGTAACATGGACTCTCTGTGATATTATTTATTACAACACTAGAGTAATCAAGGAAACAATGGCACCGTCTATGTGATGTACCTTTTTAAACGAGAGTTCAACGTGAGATATTTGCACAGTTTTCCTTTGAACTTAATAAAAATAAATAAAAAATGCATTTTCTTCTCTATTTCAAAATAGATTTATGAGACTTTTCATAAATAACCATTATATTTTTTGGGAACAAAAGAGATGTGCTGAAAAGATTCTTACTGTCAAGCTTAATGCAGGGCTGATTGTGCTCCGGAAAAAATCAGGATTTCCGGAATTTTCGCTAACAGTGATTCGGAAGTTTCCGGAGATCGAAGGTCCAGACGTTTCAAAAAATCATTGATCGCAAAAGTTTCCGGAAATCAAATTTTCAAAGGTGGAACTTAAAAACACAGTTTATTTTATTTGTTTGTAATTGAGAGCCAGACAGATACTTTATAAGCTTATATTCATGATTAATATTAATTTTTTATCAGTAAATAGTTGTTATAATTATTAACTCAAGAAAGAAAGACATATTTGTAAATTTTAGTTACTTCTCCAGATCATCATAGGTATGTGTAAATGGTGTAGGTATGTGTAAAAGCTTTAATATATTTTAAGTAAACTAAGAAATATTGCGAAAAAGAGAAAAAAAAACTTGTTTAAATTTTTTTCTAATTTTTCAATTTAAAGTGTTTTTTTCTTTTTTTTTCTTCTTCTTCTTTTTTTTAACTCGAGAAATTTTCCGGAATTTTGACTTGGGCCCACAATCACCCCTGTTAATGTCTCCTTGTGAGGAAATCTATTTCAGAGACTTGGATGGTACGAAAAGTAAAAACCTGTTTATGAAAAAAATGGATGTCATCAAGCTATGCAACGATCAAGAGGCACAATAGCTTTTGGAATTTATCAGTGATGAAGTGGAATTCAAACTAGAAACTTTAAAGTCACTTTTTAAATAATTTTTTTTTTAAATGGAGAAACCTAACATTAACAAAAACCTTGTAAATTAGTATTCCAAACTGCATTTACCATGACTCTTTCATTTGCCAAACTTTATGAATCATCAGAAAAAGAATGATTTACAAAAGTTAAATTATGAACAATTAAAACGTGTTCAGATTGAGTACAATTGTGATTTTAATTAATGCTTTAAAGAATAAAATTGTACATATCATTGTGGATAGTATCATTAAATGTGAAGAAAAAAACATATTTGATTGTCATTCGTTAGCAGAAATTTTATTTAGTTTAAAACATATTTATAATATTTAGAATTTTTTCAAGGAATTATTTATCTTTTTCAAAGAATTAAGAAAAATATCGTCCATCAACCGTTATTTAAATATATGTTTTAAAATATATATTATAAACATAAGACATATAATCAAAGTTAAAATTATGAAATGTAAGTACGAATGTATAAGTAAAAAAAAAATCATTCTGTTTAAATTTATGGAAAAAATTTTTTTTAATGATATTTGCACAAGTTAAAAAAAAAAAAAAAAATTGTTAAACTCTAAATCGATAAAATATTCAGTTTCCTATTTCGTTTCAGCATTCTATTGCATACCAAGTTTATACACCGATTGTGTTCTGAAATGGCAATACCAAAATCTAGTATGGTCACACGTGACACACGTTTTTTCATTTTATTTTTATAATACTGTATAAAAGTGTCTGACGCCCGGTGACTGAGCGGAAGCGCTTCGCGCTGTCGTGCCACAGTTCCCTGGTTTAATCCTCGGGCTGGGCAAGGTTGACTCAGCCTTTCATCCCTCCCCCCCCTTTTACTAATGTTCTGGTATTAAAAGTGACTTAGCTGTTTTATCCAAATGAATATCATTAAAAAGTAATATTATGGTATACCATTCATTAAAACATTCTACCAAGTCAATACAATTATATACACTTGGAAAATGAAATATTTTAATAAATTTAGTCCTTTCTATGCCAGTGCTTGAACTTCAGTAAGATGAATAAAACAATCTTTATTAGTACTGAAAACTATTAAGCAACTGAATATTTTAGCTCATGCTTTTTGGTTTATTTTTAACACCTGAAATGTTAAAAGTGCAAAAAATTTTGTTGTAACAATATAATTTTTTTCTGTCCACATTGGTATGCTATCTTTAAATTATGTTAAAATTTATCTTAAAAATCATTTTTCTACTGTCACCTAATATACTATAAGTTACATTTGTAAGTTGAAACTTGTCGGATAAAACACATTTTTCAGTAAATTATTATGTTTTTTAAATTATCAGGATAACATACTTTTACAATATTGCTATATATCTTTTGTCTAAAAATGCATTCCATTTTTTGATATTAAACACATAATTTTTAATTTTTTCTTGTTCTTCATTATTCTATTTTATCCTTGTTGACTAACTCAGGATAATTTTCTGTATAAATTAATTTGATCGAGTCGTATCTAGGGCATTACCACCATATAAATTATACTTTGTTATAATTTTTTTTTTAAATAATCAGAATAACATACTTTACAATTAATGCCATTTTTCTTTTGCATAAAAATGCATTCCATTTTTTGGTAATAAACACATTATAATTTTTCTTGTTCTTCGTTATTCTTTTTTCCCCTTGTCCACTAACTCAGGATGATTTTCTGCATAAATTTTTTTTTGATTGAGTCATGTCTAGAGCATTACTACCATATAAATTTTACTATTTGCAATATATCATAGTAAATGTTAAAATTTAAAAATAAATTTTAAAAGTAATTAATAAAAAGATAAAAAAAATTTTAAATAAATAATTTGATTGAAATATTTTTGCACTTAACAAACCAGATTGCAACCCCAACAAGCCAACCGTATATTCCAATTGCTCTCAACTATGCATCACAAAGAGTAACACTAGTTCAAAACCTAGGCATTCATTTAAAACAATCAGCCCCCTCCCCCCAACTATTTGTAAATATGCTTTCAAAGTTTATGATCAAACTGTGTGTACCAAATCAAACGACGCACAGTTTTCTCAATTGTTCGGAATTTATTCGTTAACTTAATAAAGAAAATATTATATTATTATATTACACTTAAAAAATCAACTTAAAAAGTTCCTGGAATTTTTGGATAATTTTGATTATGAGACACATCGGATTTGCTGCTCTGGAGGTTCTTATTAAATTGTTGTCTGCAATTTATCTATTTGATAATAAAACTTTTTCCAAATTTTGTTTGTGAGATTTAATAGGCATTAAGATTGCCATTTGCTTTCTATCACTCTTATATATTTAGAATTGTCCGTATAAATCCTTTTGGAAATTGGCACGGAAATTCTGGACAAACATCATAATGTTTTTTTATCTTAGGTAGTTAACTATAAAGCTAATAATTTAATATTGTACTTTATATAAATTTACTTTATGTATAGAACATCATATTTCATTAAAAGTGTTAATGTTTATTGTATTATGTTAAATGAAGAAATATTTATATCAAGTCTAATATTTTTTTATGCAGATATGAATCTCCAAGAGAATCTCGCCAGACAAAGGCAGATGTTAAATCAGCACTTGGGATTAGATGTTTTTGACGATTTTGGTTCTAATTATTTGTCCAGTGAAGATTTTGAAGTAAACCATACTGCTAGCAGTGTAAAAATAAAGCAAGAAAAAGTAATGCTCTTAAATTGTTTAAAATATATTTATTTTTTATAAACTACTTTTTCAATTATATCAAAACAATTAATTTGAATTAAACTGTCATTCTAGTTTAGAGTTTTAATAACTTATTGTAAAATTTTAAAACATCTTATTTTTTAATGGTGGGAATAAAAATTTGAATTGAAAGTAGTTCATGTATTTATGTAACATTGCTGTGTATATAATTTTTAATTATAACCTAAATAAATTTAAGTATTCACAAATTATTTATTTATAGCTTATTTTTTCTTAAAGAACATGGTAACCATAGTAAGATAAAAGCTTAAAGTATCTGTGCAAACAATCCAAAAGTATCTTATATCATAATTTTATTAAATATACGAAAAAAGTTAACTATTTAATATTTTTATTTATTCTTGACAAAATATATATAGATATATATACACATGCATATTTACTTTATTATTATTACTTTAAGAACATTGCAGAAATATTAATAGTTATAGAACTACATTCATATAAAGTATTTATCATATTAAATAACATTTGTAATTTTGTTTGAAATGAAATTACATTATAAGATTTCCTACTGTCACCACAATGGTCTATTTTCAATGTAAAGCGATAGTCGCATCGAGTTAAGTTGTAAAAAATTAGCTAATTGTAGACTACCAGTAATCTCTGCCGCCAATCTTTGGGCTGAAGTGGCAGTTATATCTTTTATCTTTGGGAGCAGCATGCTTACAACTAAACACTGACTTTTTTTTACCTTGCATTACGCTGTCTGCTTCATATTCTCTTTTCCCCTCACTGCAAACTATTTTTTTGCGCGAGCGGATACTTTTTTATATTACAAAAAGTATTAAAAAAGTATCATCTGCAAATTTGGAGAATCACCACCAATGTAATCGTGTGCACATGCGTTTATATTATCTAACTATGATGATGACTAAATTAGCAAAATTATTAGCTTACTAGTTTTACTAGATTACTAGTTTTATAAAAAAGGTTGAAAACCCTAGAATAAAAACTACATATTAATAATTTTTTTTAAATATAATTTGCACATTTTTTTAAATATAAAGTTACATATTCTGAATGTGCAGAACTGGCTGCTAAATTTTATAGTGTAGCAATTATTTTCTTTTTTAAATAACAATTTTTTGTATTAGTAGTTAAAGAAAGTTTTGTTCAATATTTATGATTATAAATTCTGTATTTTTATTAATCAAGTTTGTTAGTTTCTTAAAATTTCGGAAAAGTTTTGTGCAATTTTTTTTAAAACATTTATTCTTAGTTAACAATTTTTTTATTTATTTTTTATTAACAGACTGACGCAACAGAAACCTTGAACAGTGAAACTTCCAATCTTTCGCTTCAAACAAGTCAAAGGTACATTTTTTTTTCTAAATTAAGTTGGGCAATGAAAAAATTACCCTACTTAATTTTTTTAACATTTAATTTATGGTGTTCTTAGATGTAGCATTTAAGGAACATGTTCGCCCTTAATAATTTTCATGAACATTGAAATTTTACTTATTATTTTTTCTTCTTTTTTTTAAAAGAAAGAAAATTCTTTATTGTTTGTTTAAAAAAATAAAAAATTTAATTTGTTTATGTATAGCACTATAATTTCATTATCTTTTATGTACCTTAAAAATTATTTGATTTTTTAAAATTTTTTTTTATTTTTTATATTTCAAATACTGAGATTTAATTACATTTACTTGTTAAAAATTGTAATAAGTAGCTTGTTGTATAGTTTGTGGAACACTTTACTTGTTTTTAATTATAATGAATTTTTTCATGTTAGAAAATATTAAGAAAATATATAAATTGTTATTATAAAAAAAGTGTGTAAATGGTTCCTCTGACAAAATTTTTATGTATAGTTTTAATTTTTGTTTTTGACCCTCTAAAATAATCACATTACTAATTACAGAGAAATATAACTTGATAGAAAAATAATGTTTAATTTATAATTTGAAAAACATGTTTCTTTCTTAAATATTTAGTTAATGTACATATTTTAAAATTTTAAAAAACAAGTTTTGTATGAATGTTCAAATCTTGTTTTATATGCCTAAAGTTTGAATAATTTTTTTTGTGTAAAAGAAAATGTTTTCTTGAGGCTTTTTAAAAATTATTTAAAATGTATTCTATATTTTCTCGTTCTAAAACTTGCTTTTTAAAATTTTAAAAAACAAGTTTTGTATGTTTAAATCTTGTTTTATATGCCTAAAGTTTGAATAATTTAATTGTGTAAAAGAAAATGTTTTTTTTAGGCTTTTTAAAAATTATTTAAAATGTATTCTATATTTTCTCCTCCGCATACTCTTTAATATTTTGTTTTATTATCTTTTGCTACTAATTGCAGACATTGTTTCAAATTACTTTCTAAATAACTTCCAGTAATAGTCTATGTAACAATATTTTCTAGGTGTCACCCCAGTGGCAGAAGTTTTTTGAGTTATCTGCAACGAAACCCTTTTGCACTTATATCTTTCTGCAAGATAATTTCAATACTAACAAACATATATGTTACTAATTTAAAATAACAAATACGCTGTATTTACAAAAAAAAAAATTTAATTTTCTTAATTGTACATTTAATAGTTTTTTATTCTAATATTATGGGTGATATTCTCGAATTTTGTTGGGGGAGGGGGAGCGCTCAAATTATTTCTTTTTTCGCCTTTTGTTAATAATCATCACAATAAAAAAAAATTTAAAAAGCATGACATCGGTAGTAGTAATTACTGACAAAAAGATAATGACAAAATCACGTGAATTGGATGCCTCAAATGCGTGTTTCGTTTTGAGATAAGGTTGTTGTAATAAATAATATCGTATAAAAAATATTGGATTTAAAAAGTATAGTGTTATCAAGAGCAATAACTGCTAAAAATTCGATAGAATTATTGCCTTAAAAAGTAATTACTCAAATGCACGGTTTGAATTTTCCAGATTGTTTGAAATATATCGGGATATTTAAAATCCACGTGAGTTTCAATATCAATAAATGCCGAAAATAAAATCGAAACATTACATCGATTTACAATACTATTGGCATAAATTGAGTGCGTCAAAAAGTTATTATCTGAATCTATGATTCAAATATTCTGTGGAAATTTCTGTATAAAAAAAAACTAAATTTTTGTACTTTTCAAAAAAAAAAAAAAAATCTTTCTGCAAGAACTTTGTAACATTCTGTGACAATGCTTTCTGTCGCTGCGATTCTGCCATGGGGGGGGTGTCACATAATTGCAATACTATAAATAGTTTAGGAAATAAAATTCTGATTCTTGTCAAATGATTAAAATTCTGAAGTTATCCCAATTTCCATAGACATACATTCCGCTGTTGTTAATATATCTGTTTTTATCATCATAAGTATAGCTGCTCCTTTAATGTGTTCTTTTTTTTTCTTTTAAAATATTATTTTGAACCATATTTCAAAATGTTTCTTAAACAATATATGTATTTTATTGTTTAGCTCAATTAAAAAATTGCAGATTTCCATTTTAAAAAAATCGATATTTCACAAAGAAAAAATTTTTTCTTCGCATTTTTGTAAAACTCTTTTAATTGAATTTAATAAAAGAATTTTTTATCATTTCTGAACTAGCGGAATATCTTCTTAGAAATAGAAAAAAAAAGGTAAATTGTGGACGGAGTTAAATTCCCCGGTATTTTGTAATCTTACCTTGCAATGTTCTGTTGCTTCAGTACACCAATCAAAATGTTTATGTCCTTTATTATTTTAATTGAATATATTTATTTTTTTCAACTTTAATCCCACCTTGCTGTTTCTTAATCTAGTCTTTCTCTGCTCTGATGCATTGGTGTTGCACTTAGACTTTTTTCCTTTTTTAACTATTTTAATTTTATCTCTTAATAATTTAAAATTTAAAAAAAATTATAATTAAATTCATTAAAAAATTTAATATTTCTCGCAATAATCATCACAAAGTTTTTATCATTCTTAATAATTAATGAATGTTACTCACATGTTTTTTAATACAAGGTTTGTTTATGGAGTATTTAAATTTATTTTTAATTCCTGAATCCTAGTATTGCTGAACCTGCAGCCAAAAAAAGAAAGATTGAAAATTGTTCAGATGAAAAACAAGGGGATGTCATTAGTAGTGGAAATTTATGGGAAGAGGTAACTTCAATTTGTGATTATACATTTTTTAATGCTATTCTACTACTTAAATATTTTTAAAATGTTGTTTTAATTTTTTGTCAAGAGCTAAGACTAATGCAGATTGATCTTTTTACCATTTATCAATCAGCACTTTTATAGAAAATATTTTATCTTCCTTTTATTATAATTTTTGTTCCTCAAAAATTGAAATTTTTGACTTATATTTAATGAATGGCAACTTCACAAATATTTTTTTTAACTTGATTTATTTATATTAACTTGATTTATTATAACTTGAATATTTTTTTTAACGGCACCCTCTTTTTTCTTCCTAATTTCTCATTTACGCTCAATAACGTTTTTTTACACAAATGTATTTGAGGGAGAAGGTAACTTCAGATAGCTTTTCAGAAAACGAAAGTGAAATAAAAAAAATACAAAATTCGGGTAGAATTCATGAAATTCTGAGGCAAAAGAATGCACACTGATAATCTAAAAAGTAATTTTGAAATTACTTTTACTGTAGAACTTTTTTTTAGTACTTAAGCATGTTATGGGAAAACTTAAAGATTTCAATTTTATCATTTTTCTAAGAATGCACTGAGTCTTGATTTTGGCCAAATAATAGTTGTAACAATCATAAATTGTCATAAATAATCCTATACTCTGAAAAAATCTGTTAACTGAATCGGCAATTTACTGTTACAAAGCAATTTTTAAAAAAATTACAATGCCTTTTCTGCTTTTACTTTTATTGATATGTTCGCCAGTTCCGGGGACAAGTCGAATACCTCTGCGAGCAATTTTCGATCGAAGGCCATAGATTGTGCGTCCTTGATTTTTCTTATTCTGATTTTTGTTTTTTCCCATATATTGCAATAATGAGCGTGATAAAGAAATGGTAACAATTAAGCAACTTCTGGAATTTTTCCATAATTAGTACTTTTTTTAATTTTCTAATACTTATGTATGATATAGGAAATACTTAGGGATTTCAATTTTATCATTTTTCTAAGAGTGCACTGAATTTTGATTTTAATCAAATAATAATTGTAGCAATCATTGTAAATACTGAACCCATTGTCATAAATAATCCTATACTCTGAAGAAATCTGTGAACTAAATTGACAATTTACTGTTACAAAGCAATTTTTTATTTTTTTTAAGAAAGAAGTTTTCCGATACTTTTTCTGCTTTTTTTATTTCATTGATATGTACGTCAGTTACGGAGCCAAGTCAAAAGCTTTTGTGACCAATTTTGGCCTGAAGGCCATAGATTGTGCATCCATGATTTTTCTTATTCTGACTTGTTTCCCCCCCCCCACATTGCAATGAGTATGATAAAAAAAATGGTAACAATTAAACAACTTCTGGAATTTTTCCATAATTAGTACTTTTTTTTCCCGTTTTCCAGTACTTTTGCATGATATAGGAAAACTCATATACATTATCATTTTCTAGGAGTGCACTGAATCTTGATTTTGACCAAATAATAATTATTCATGTGACCAAATATTTTTTTAGTAGAATACTGACTACTTGGTACTCCACCGTTTTATTAACATTTGCTTGGTATCTACTCATCTGAGTAACCTGGAAATTAAGAAAATTTTTAATTACATTTTCTTAAGGGAATTTTAAATTCTTGAAGAAAACAAAAAATTTCTGCTTAAAACTTAACTATAAATTCTCAAACAATTTTAATTTTCATCAGATCCTAGGCTCTAGTACTTTGAGTGGGTAGAATTGAATTTATATTAGTTTTCATTTCATAAAGTTGTATTATTTATAGTTATATCTTAAAAAATGGGTATTGCTGCTATTTTTTAATTTTTTCATTACATAAAATTTATAATTTATTTCAAATGATAAGCTAAAAGCATTTTTATTTTATTCTTAATATATTATTCTTAGTATTCTTAGTATTTGTCTTCCAAAATTATTTTCTTCACTCAGTCATTAACATTGCGATTTTCATCTATTACTTTAGGCTCTATGTGCTTTTTTTTTTCTTTAAATCTTTTTGGTGATAAATTATAAGTGAAGGAATAAAATATAAATAGGTTTTAATGACAAATTTAAACATTAAACTTCTAGAAAAACACTTTTATACTATTTAAATTAAGTGAATTAAGTTTTTCTTTCAGCTTTTTTGTTTGTCTTTTTTATAGTCTGGTATGTAAATTGTCTTAATTTTTTTTCTTCAGTGCATCGCTAGTAGACTTGATATAGATAAATTTTTAAGTGTTAGTGTTGTTTGCTTATCAAATGTCCGAAACGCGACTAACAATTTGAAAAATCCTTTAAAGAACAATGGAAGTGAACAGAATGCAGATATAGAAACTTTATTGAGGAACAAATTATCTATCTTTATTATTAAGAAATAAATGTTTTTCTTTTACTAATTGCTATATCCAGAACTTAATAAATAATTTATATTTTATTTTCAGTCTAACCACTGGCCATTGGAATCATTCAGTGATAATCTAGTTCAGGATTTATTGAATGCATCTTGGGAAATTCGTCATGGGGCTGCAACAGCTTTACGTGAAATTGTGAGAATTCACGGAAAAGATGCTGGAAAAAAACTAGGAATATCTCTCCATGAAGTAAGTATTCTTCATCGAACACTTTTTTGTATGATTATTTTTATTATTAATGAAGAAAGTATTTACAAAATTTTATATTTTGTAAAACTGTATTATTATTTACCTGAACTCATTATATTGCCTGATAGACCTGAGTTATATAAAACTTCAAACCAGACATGTATTTTTTACACTTACTAACTTGGTCGGGTATGTTACTGTAAGAAAGTAAATTTTGTTGTTAGATAGTTTTGTAGTTAGTTAGTTTTGCTGCCTTCATACTTTGATCTGGCACTTCAATACTTTTAGCTGCAATTGAACACAAGGGAATAGAATTAAAAGAAATAGATGTGTAGAAGGGCACCTCCTGATAGCACTTAATACTTTTAATAATGACACTACTTTGTTAATTAATGCTTATTTGTGCTCAATACTTAGTGTATAATATCTAATACTTTTTTGTTAAAAAGATTTAGATTAGCAAAAATTATCTGATTTATTATTCACAATTAAAATGAAAGTTACTATTGATATAACATTAATAATGCATGCTTTCCTGGCAGATTAAGAATTGGCACATTAATCTATTGATAATCATTGGGTTATTAACAATATACCTTTCTAAGGTAACTATGGCTTTATTACACACACAAAAAAAAAAATCCTTCCAAGTTTAGTTTTGGGAAATGCAAAGATTGAAGACTGTTAATGTAAAGATTAAAATGTTAATTATTTAGAACTCGATGAATCAACTATAGCCGCACATTTTTATAGACTGGGGTATAAATTTGTCTTCGATGAAAGCAAATATTTTTTTCACCCCTGTCATATCAGCTTTATTTTGATGCTCTAAACTAAAATTTTGTTTTATTCATATGAGTGCCAATTCTGCATTTCACTTGGAAATGCATCTTGTCATGGCTTGCCCCTTTCAACCACCTCAAATTTTTCTGTTGAAAACTTCACTTTTCTTTTCTTTTTTCCAAATCTGTTTTTATTATTTACGTGTTTGATGATCTTGATGATGGGCATCATAATTTGAGTGCTCAAGACTTGTCTTTTTACCCCTAAATTTTTATATTAAGGAAGTTTATTCATTGAAAAATTTAGTTTCTTGGGATTATTCATTGCAAATATCAAGTTAATATGATAGAATCCATGGTTATATTCACTTTGTTAATGTTCATATTCATCGATTATACATGAATTATATTTATCGATTATACAATGAATGCTTTCTACTATAATTGGTATTATATTTTGGATAAAAAATATAATTAATAAATTAATTAGATTTTGTTGCATATTAATTATTACACTTTGATTTTTGCCTTTTTGTTTAAATCCTAACATATTTTTTAGAGTAAATATTATAACCAGTTATGGCTGGAAGACTTGGCTCTTAGATTATGCTGTGTATTAGCCTTAGACAAGTTCGGTGATTTTGTCTCGGATCAAGTGAGTAATTTCAAAAATGTATTGTAATTGTTAATCTTACTTCAAGTAATTTCCTAATTGCTGCATGAAATTCTTTGTTGTTAAATCAGGTTTATTACAAACTTTTGATTCTGATATTGTTGAGTTTTTTTTAATATTATAGTAAAAGAAATAGGTAAAACAAATTACTAATTTCTCCTTAATTTAACACTTTTTTTTCGTATATTACCAATATTTATTTATATAAATTTTTTATTATATTTTTTCCAAAAAATAATCTATATATTTTTAAAAATATATCATTCTTAGAATTTTTCATTTTCTCATTGTGAAAATTGCCTTTTTTAAAAAAATAATAATAATATAAGTATCAAAATACTTTTTGGGGGATAAAAGAAATACTTAAAAGCAATATGTAGCTTGTCGAAAACATGAATATAGAATATTCTTATATGATAAGAAGAGATAAAAATTTAATATTAGGCTTGTAAGTAATGTTGGTTCAGTGGTCTGAAATCCCTAAAATCAAATTCAGACTATTATGAAAAAATATTGAACGGTTCCTTGGATCAGCGATCAATCAAGCATAATGACAGTTTTTATTTACTGTTTTGGTCTGTGCTTCTTCATAATAATTTTGAATATTACACATTCTCTGTAATTTTTTATTTAATTTCTGTTTAATTACTTGTTTACTAAAATATAAATATTTTTATTCATTTATATAATTCGGTTCTGTTGATTTTTAAGCATTTTCAAAAATCTAATTGGGGCACGTGAACAGACCAGCAAATAAATGTATCTAGACTTGTCAATTATTTTTTGTTACTAATCCTTTAAACCAGTGACTAAATTTTCTTAATTTCTTCCCTTCCTTAATTCTGTTTCAGTGTTTTCATCTCAGAAAAAAAATGGGTGAGAACTTCTCACCCTTTCTCAAAAACAGGGTGAGATTTCAAAAAGTTAAGTGAGATTTCAAAAATTAAAAAAAAAAAGAAAAAACACCAAGAGACTTGAAGAAAAAATCATTTCTTTAATTATAATGTCTTTTTAACATCTTCTAATTTTTAAAGCATTGAATATTTTTGCTGCATCATCATATGGAAAATGTTCTACATCTACTTTTTCATCAGCTATTCTCATTAGGTTGCTCAAATGCGTATTTGTTTCGTTTTGATCGTTTCTATCCACATTTGTTTCATTTTCATTTGTCCGTTTCGGAGTAGAAGATAGTGGCTTTACAAGGTATTTGTCCATCTTACATTAACGAGCAAAAAATTTAAACATCTTACATGAAGAAACGGTAAACACGTGGTTGTAGAGAAATGCGTTCTGAAAGAGGTTCCGTGGGTCCGAAGGATGGTGTTCTGTTGTTCTTAAAGGTTCTGAACAATACTGGTAAATAGGGAAGCTAGATAATGGGGCAGATGTTGAAAATAATAAAAGATCCAGGAAGAAAATGAAACGGATTTTATTCTAAATGGCGCAAATGAGAATTTTTTTTCAAAATGCGAGAAATTTGCGAATTTTGAAATTGGTTTATAGAATGTGCGAATTTCTCGCGGTAATCATTTTTTAATGCGAGAATATAAAAAAATATGCGAGATTCTCGCGTTCTCGCGCTGTAGTGAAAACACTGTGTTTAAAGAAAAAATATAAATTCAAACCATCATAAAAAAATATATAAATGAACGAAACTGTTAGCAGCTTTTCAATGAAATTGTTACCAGGCATATCCTCTCTTGCAATGAAAATCTCATTCCTTATGCATTTATTAATTTGTCTGTGCTGGTTTATAACCTTGTAAAGTGTAAAACAGTGTCACTCAACCACTGTTCCAGGGCACTTCTGTGGGCCGCAAAATTTTAGAAATGATATTGTAAAAATTGTAATGTTTTTTTTATTAGTAAATTTTAAATTAAAGAAAAGTTTTCCATGCTTCAGCAACGTGAACATCTTGGTCTGCAATAGTCCTGTCTCTGACGATCTTAAAATGCTAAAATAAGTTGAAAATTTAATGACTATTAAAATTAGTAATTAACAAAATAAAGCAAACTAAATATTAACTTACAGAAGGAATTAAAAGCTAACAATTAATGTAAGCTAAGTAATTAAGAGTTATAAAAACAAATTATCAAAAAATTTGAAGCTTTAATTTTTCATTAAAAATATTCTTATTTTTAACTTGTAATTAATTCCTTAATAAACGTACTGTTGTTTTTGTCGTGCATATTTTATTCTATATTCAAAATTATCATCATGAACTATTTTACATGGTGTACATAGGTAATATTTACATAGGTAAGTAAACAACTTATATATTTATTTTCTTCTTTGCGTGCCGTCAAATTTCGAAATCGTTAAAAATGTGCCGCAACAAAATAAAAAGGTTGAGAATCGCTGGTGTGAAACATTATTTTCATAAATTTTGTTGTATATTTTAGTAATTATTTATTTTATTTTTTTGTCTTATTTAGGTTATTGCACCTGTGAGAGAAACATGTTCTCAAGTATTAGGGATAGTTACTAATTTATTATCAGAAGAAAGAGTTATAAAAGTCCTTCAGATATTATTACAGTTATTAAAGACACCTGCTTGGGAGGCTCGCCACGGGGGATTACTTGGTTTAAAATATATCCTTGCTGTTCGGAAGGTACATATGCATAATAAATATGTATAATAAATAAATATATATATTAAATAAATATATATATTAAAATAAAAAATTTGTAAATATGTATAATACATATGTATAAAAAAAATAATATGTGTAAAAAAATAAATTTTTATGTATAATAAGGTACATATGTATAAAATTTAGTAAATATGTATGATAAAATGGAAATAGCGTAAATGTTAATTTATTTAACATTGAAACTGATATTGCTTTTTGTTTTAGGACTTAAACTCAAATTTGATTCCAATGGTGTTTGATTCTGTTTGTAATTGTCTCACTGATAATGTAGACGACGTCAGTGCGGTTGCGGCTTCTGCATTAGTACCTGTGACGGATGTGATTGTTTCAGCATTACCAGACAAGGTTAGATAAATAAATAATTGAAAGTTGTATTTAAAATATAGATATGTAATAAAGATATTTACAAAATTACATTATAAAGGATATATTATGTAACAGATAATGAGATATTGTAATTTTCCTTACGTTCTTAATTAAATGTTTTTATAAACGTAGTTTCTGCATAATGTTTATAAAATATATTTCTTTTAGATCACTTCTATTTTGACCTCTCTGTGGGATGCTCTTTTGGATCTAGATGATTTAACAGTTTCTACGAGCTCCATTCTTCAACTCTTAGCATCTCTTTTATCATACTCTTCTGAATTTTGCTCAAATAGGTATGAGTTTTTTGCTCAATGTTTCCACTAAAATGGTTTAAGGTTATATAAAAAAAAAGCTTCTTTATTTTGTCATTTTTGAAAATTCTTATTTTTCTCATTAAAGGACTTGTGTCGGGAATGAGTTTTCTTTACAGTTCTAAAGATACTAGCCAAATTAAAATTTTTGTTTGTAAATATTTTACATTTGTGAAAATTACAGAGATGATTGTGTTCCAGAAAAAATTGGAATTTTTCGCTAACCGCGATCTGGAAGTTTCCTGAAATCCAAGCTCTAGAAGTTTCAAGAAATCATCGATCACATCTATGTATAAAAATTCTTGTATATTTTATTTAAAAGTATTAGAACTAGAATTTATACTTGTCATCTCTTTCAGTAATAAATATATTTTCTGGTGGAATAATAAATGTGATAAGAGATAGAAGTAAACTTTTTCATAATTATTCATTTAAATTATGCTGCATATAATTTGTTTAGAATTTCAAGTTTTGGAAATATCAATGATTTAAATTTATTAAGACATGAATTTTATGAAATGTGCCATTATGGATTTTTGAGTTGGGCTTGTAATTACCCCTGAAATTATGAATGAATTTTAAAATGTTAACAGATGTAGCCTGAAAAACTTTTTTGTTGACTGAAACCATAAAATAATGTAGGAAATTAAAGATAAAACAATATTTATACCAAAATATTACACTCAGACCTCATGTTTCGTTTTCTTGTATGTATTGTGTTGTTTTGACAGTTTTGTCACAAATGCTATTTTTATTATGTTAATAACATCTGTTTAGATTGTTTATGCTATCTAGCTGATTCTTGTGCTATCATTCATAAATTTGACCAGTATGTATAAAAAGACAGTAGCTCTTGATGCTAATGATGAATAAAATAATAAAATTTGTAACAGCTTGATGATAAACATCTTAAGCATCACATTTGATATTTATGCATCCGTTGATGAAAATGTTGAAACTTGTGGTGTTGCATATTCAAGAAATTGTTGCAGAAACTGAAGAAGTGCAAAGACCGATGAGCACTACAAAACAAAAAAAACAGTGCCACTTTTTAGATAAAAAAACTTCTAAGCCTTTGAAACAATGAGCATTTTTATGGTATCCATACCGACTTATAGAAAATTAATGGGAATCTGCTAAAAATGTTGAAAATTTGTTGTTTGCACTGAGAAGAAAATGGTGTGTTCAAACCAAACTTTTTAAATGATTTGAATGAATAAATGTGTTTATTCATCTATCTTTTAAATCATAAATATTTTTACTATAAGTACATAATTATTTTAGTGAAAATTTTTATATTTTAAATTTATTAATTTTCAAGTCCTTTACTTTCTTCATTCTTTCACTCACTTTCAACTGATGATTTACTATTTTATGTTGATCCGAGGTCATTTTTACATATTTATTGTTTGCAATGAATGAATGGTTCCATAAGAAATAGTTGATCAATGTTCTACTGTATTAAATCAAAATAGGCTTTTACTATTTGAAGAAACAATAGCTTGATTTTAAAATGCTTCCATTTTTGGCTGCACTGTTGCCTAATAAAACAAGCATGATTAGTCTAATTTAAAACTCAACATTTGAAACAATGCAATTTATTCGCTAAGCTTTCATATTCAGTCACCAATGGAATGTAGAAATTTCACTTTGGACTAGTGAATTAAAATTGACCAAAGTTTTTAGCTAACTGTGCTGAAAATACAGTTTTGTTGCAGTGTTAGCAGTTGAAAACTAATAGTGATTTAAAACTTACTTGAATTGTAGACGTGAACATTCAAATTACAATTTTTTAGTCAAAAGAAAGTCAGTTAATTTAAAAAATATTTATTTTAAGTAATTTTAAAAGTCTTGTTTCTCATGACCTGGAATGAAATTTTGTGATAAATGTTATTTATGTCATGTAAATAACTTCTTAGTAAAGTGCCATCCAAAATTTGGTGTTGCTTTATTTTTCTAAGTTTGTTGTTTGTCAATTTAAATGAAGTATGTATTTTAGCTGCCTGAGACTAGAAGAGCTTGTTCCTCGTGTTTGGCCTTTTCTAAATCACAGCTCATCAATTGTTCGAAAATCAGTCCTTCAAGCGCTCATCACCTTAACTTCGATAAATAATAATCAGGTAAAATTTAACAATTTTAATCCAATATCTTATTGAATTGTAATACTGAATTTTCAACTTTTGTTTTCTTTCTGAGTGTTTCTAGATTGTTCTTTCACATTTCTGTCATTTAATATTTTCTTTTTTTTTTCATATTTGAAGGGTTCACGCCAGTAATGTCGACAATTGCTGCCAAATATTCACAAATGTCACTAAAACCACTCGCTTAGCAACAAATTTGTCGTTTTTAAGTATGTTTTGAATTTAAAAATAATTACGAAAAATGTTTTTTTTTGTATCAAATTCCATGCATTTAAAAAAAATTTTGATTGTACTAATTTTTTTATTCAACGTTTTGTATGGAACAAAATTTTTAAATTTAATTGGTGAAATTTCAAATTTACTAGTTGTGCTGTGCTTTGGATTCATGAACTGACATTATGATTAATTGTTCATCAATAAAATAATATTTTTTGTTCTCTTAGAAATGATTTTATTTAAAATTTTATAGATAATTAATTTTTAATGTAACATTTTGTCCGTTCTTACTTTCTTTGTTTTCCTCATTTATTTATTTATTTTGGTCTCAGCATTCTAATCTCTGTGTTTAATCTTTTTATTAATATTATTTTAGCTTTTTTGCACTTAATTTTGATAAATACTAATCTTAAATTTTTATGGGCTAATGAACCTAATTAGTTTTAGAGTGGTAATATGGCAATTAATAACTTTGTGTACCATGACATGAATTATGGAATCGTAAAGTCGGTATTTCTTTTCAAGTTTAATATAAGTTTTTGGACCACTTAATGAATACCTAATGAACCACTAAATATTCATTACTGGTGTGAACTCTACTTATTTGTTATATATATATATATNTGATGAATAACAATACAAACATAACAATATTGCAACTTAATCGCCACCATTTTGAATTAATATATATATATATATATTAATTGAAGCTCTTTTTTGCTACACATTGAACTGTTTTGTTTGTTATTTTTAGACAAGTATTCTATGGTTTCCAGAAATATTACAACCTGCCTTAAGACTTTTGTTCCAAAGGAGCTTAGTGGAACCTCTCTCAGAAATCCATGTACTCTTGTTCCAAGTATGTATAAAAATTTGAATTTAAAAGTTGTAACTATTATAGTGTTCTATTTCCATCATTGTTTTATTTGTTGAAGCAGTTATAGAATTATTATTCTCAAAAATAAACTATCACTCAAATTTCCTTTGTTGACTAAAATTTACTCATTTCAATTTTAAATTCTCATGAAGAACTCAACTGTTTCTACAGGGTTTCTTCAGGTCAGGGAAAACCTGGAATTGTCAGGGAATTTTATTTTAACTCTAAAAATCAGGGAAAGCTGCACTTTTTTTTTACAAAAACCTGGAAAATAACCAGTCTTAAAATTGTCCGTAATAGTAATCAGTTATTGAGATTCAAGTTAAATAATTCTAATATCTATTATAATTATTTGTCGTAAGAATTGCACATTTTAGTCAAACTGAAATGTTTCCATCTTCCTTAAATGATATTTTTTTACACAGAAAATCTAATACTTCACATTACAAATAAAAGAATCAAAATTTTCTGATAAAAATGTGGTTGAGAGTGTTACACACCAGTGACCCATGCTTTCCAGAATACTATGGGATTATTACTCAGAAATGGATCGTAGTCAGTGCTGTGAGTCAGTCAGAACTATGCAGCCCCAGTTTTATTCTATTAATAGAGCTCACTCATTAAACCAAAAACATAAAAAAACAAAAATTGTCAATCTTCATTCTAATTGTAAACCCAATATCTATTTTAGGTCTGGAATAATATGATTTCTCATGCTCCTTTACTATCTGTTGTAACATCATCTCTCCAATTCTTAAGTCCCTGGTTGTCAATAATGATGCAGCCTGCCAATGTACCATATGATCCTAGTACTAATCCAGCCTGGCTGGCAATGCCTCATAAATTAAAAGTAAGTATGATGAATGTGTTTTTTATATGTTTTATTCTTTTTTATGTTCCTTCTTGCATTGTTCATAATTTCTTTTTTATGATAGGAAAAAACGTCAGGTCGTTCTCGGTTTTCAACTGGAGAAAAACCACCTCCTGAACAGTATTATATTGGCGGCAATAGTCCTGGAAATGAAAACTCCAAGGAGCGAGAATTAAACATAATCCAAGCCAAAATAACTGCTGCAAAGTATGTTTAAAACAAAGTAAATTTTTTTAAATAATTTAATAAATTTTTCAAAAAAAAATGGTAAAGAGTTCTGCTTTTTTTTTAAAAGTTTAATAAAAGGAAATATTTTTTTTTTGCATTTTATAAAAAAAGTACCTCTTTTTTAAATTCTCAAAGGCTTAATTTTAAAAGTTTTTTCTTATTTATGCAAATGCTACTTAAAATCACATATAGTTATTGGTATACACACGGTTTAAAATTACACATAGTGAGTTGTATTGACATTTGATTTAAAAATCCCACATTGGTGTTCATATTGACGTAAAATTAAAAATCACACATTGGAATTCGTTTTCATGTAAAATTTTACAATTCATATTGCTCTTGCAAGCACAGAACCAATCTTACACAATGCAGGTCAATGCCTAAACTTTTTTGATATCGCGGCTCTTATTTATAATTATATTATATGAAAAAGTTTATTTTACTTCTAAAATTTATATATCAAATATTTCTTTAAAGGAGTCAAGACATTTTATGCATTTCTTGTACTTGTTTTATCTGCTAAGCAATTATAATTTTTAATTCAACATTTTTGTTTTATAGGTTTATAGGTGTACTTGTTTCGTATATTAGAAAAGATGTTCCAGGTGTCAAGTTTACACCTGAAATTGATACTCCTCTCAATTCTTTTATAAAATTTTCTCTTTTCCATTTGAATTCCAAATCTGCTCAACAAAGGCTGGCAATTTCTTTAGTACTGAATGAATGGGCTAAATGTGATGAGGTGAGTCATCATGTCTTATAATCTTCTATTTAATTTGAGTGAATGAAATATTTTTACTCTTTCTGTCTTATATATAGATTCCCAAACTAAGCATCTTAACCCAAACATGGGTAAATGAGTAAAAGGATATAGGGGGGAAAGTTCGTTGTAAAATAAGTTTTCTCTTCTGTGCCAATCATGAACATTGTACGAAAAGTAAGTAAAAGGAAGGGAGACCATTTACTAGTTCCAAACTGAATGAAAGGATGAATGGCCAGTATTGGTCACTCGCATGTTTATCTAATAGCTAACAATGTTTCTATTACTTCTATTCTATGGAGTTTTTGATTTTCTATCTAATACTAGGATTCCCAATCTACAAAAATCTCCATGAAAATATGGGTCTCTAAATCAAATTATGTACAGTGAAAAGTACCATATCGAGAATAGTCAGTTTCAGTGTAAAAACTTCAATTTTTTTTCATTTATTTATTTATTTTCTTTAATGAATGACTTTTTCCTATTTAGCATTTATCTATTAATATTTGTATTTTTCTCTCCACATAATGCATAACAGATATTTAATTTATTTTAGGAGTTTGATTTCCCGCCTTCTGTCAAGGAAAAATGTCTAGAATGTTTGAATGAAACAGTATATTTTGATGAAATAGCAGTTGCTTTTACAAGGCTTCAACAAGAGTGTAAAGATTTTATATCACTTTTAAAGCATTATTCCATTCCTGTTGATCCCACGTTTCTGACAGGGTAAATATAATTTTTTTAATCCATTTTATTTTATGTCCTACACTGGTACTTAACGTCTTCAATATAATTATAAATATAGAATAAAGTATTATTATTCATATCAATAAATATGAATAAAAATTGAATTATAATTATTTTTAAAAAAAAAACTTCATTATTGCATGAAAATGCTTTATTTTTTATTGTTTATTGCAAGTAACTTATGTTATATATTTTTTTAAAATTTTGGTTAAGTGTAATTTGTTTACACATGGTTCGTAGCGTTTTTAAAAAGTGCTTATTTTCATTTTTTAAAAACCGCTAAAGATGCTTTTTTTCATTGGGGATTTTTAAAAAGTGCTAAATTTTTCCTTTTCGAAAATAAGATTTTTCTCTTTACCCTTTCGATTTTCGTCGTGTATTATGCAATAGCTTGCTTTTCACATTGTTCTATTCAACATTTTCACAATTCCTTCAACCACAATCTATTTTGGTGCTCCGTCGGTCCATAGCGAATGAAATCGCCAATCATTTTACATGTTTGATGAAATACTTCCGAGCTGGGATCAGTGAGATTCTTGCACTCTCATGTGCAACTCTGCTGCAGTTTGCAAGATATTCTCTATTTCAGGCTTCATTTTCCACCGTCTGATATCTAATCAAAAAACCTCCTTTGATAATTTTATACTAGCTAATATAATCAAGAAAACAGTTCTTTGTCAGAAACTGTTTATTTTATCATGATCACGTGAAGTATTTGAAAATAATTGTACATTTTGTTAATGTATATAGTGCTTAAAAATATTTTTGAGTGCTTAAAAGGTGCTTATTTTTTGTTGAAAGATTTGACTACGCACCCTGTTACATCAATTAATTATGCTGTAAAAATTCAGATGTACAAGTGGAATTCCTAATTTAACCCAGCTCCGAAGGAAAGTATTTGAGAAAATACTAAAGACTAAGAGTGCAGGACAAGAGTGCACAACCTGCTTAAGTACAGATTATTTAGAAAGGAAAAGGCTAAATACAATCTTTTACAACATTTAGAGGTAAAACAGTCTAGTCAAGGAGTTGTTATCTTTCATGAATATGTATTATTTCAAAGGATAATAGCTATACCCTGTCCCCCAAAACCCATCCTTTGGCGATAAGAAAGCCAATAGCAATCTTTTCCGAACTTAACCAAATCAAAGTCACAAATGAGGATACAAAATCAGAATAATAACATTTTCAGTATAAGTAACAATAGGATTCTTAAACATATAACATATAAACATATTCACAAAAGTTACTGAAACTCTGTAAAATAAATTATCTATTGTTATTTTGGTACAAAAGTTCACATAAAATTTCATCTAGAAGTAAGTGTAAATAACTATATACAGTGGGTTATCATTATGGCAACTATGTACTTAAGCGCAACAAATTTGAGATTGAAAAGTGTAAAGATATGATTCAATATCAATAGTGAAGATACAATTTACATATGTGTAAAAATTTAACATAGAATTACTTGGATAACAATGATCTAAGGAGTTTTACCACTCCATATATTAACATTTAGTTAACTTAAACAAAATTTTTTTCTTAGATTTTTTTTTTTGTTTTTTTTTTTTGCATTTTTTCAGCATTGTCCTTTTTTTATTTTGAAAGAAAAAAAAAAGAAGAAAGAGCTCTCACATTAGTTGAAAAAGGTCTTACTATTTTTTTTGTTAAAGAAGGAATAATCTTTTCTAATCAGGTTACTTAGAAAATAAAGAAACAGCTATCAGTAAACTCAAAATAAATTTGATTTGTGCTATACTGTGTTGCAACAAGATTGAAAGTACAAAGAAATTTCAATTCAATTTGCTGTGAGACCCATTTAATACTGTATACATGTATGCAACATATTGACACAAGAGTTTATCTAAAATCTTCACCTTAACAGATAAATATATACATAAACATAGACCTAGTTAGGAAACATTTAATCTTTTTAATAATTTGGGCAATTTTATTTTCAATGTTCTGAAAAACTGGAGTAGCAGTACTCTTTGCTGTATGATATGACTCATTTGTATACAGGGTGTATGCATATATGTTTGTATTATGGTATGTAAAATTTGTTCCATGCCTGTATTATCGTATGTAAAATTTATTTATTCTTACAAACAAGTAAGTTTTCATATTTTTTGTAGATCTGTATTTACATTTGAGCAAATTCTCAGCTTTACGGCATCTGTAGCTAGTTCTTTGTGTACAATTAAGTTAAAAGCAAAAATTCAAGAGGTAAGACTACTTTTTATTTGTGTTTTACTCAAATCACTCAATTATTGTTTGTGTGTGATTGTTTATATTTTTTATCATGCTGACTTATATTAGCTCATATATTTTATTTATTGAACCTATTACTCTGTTGAGATTTAATCCTTGACTAAAATACTTTAGATTTTGTTTGTTTGAAATCTAGTTTATCACTCAGTTTTTTATTTACCATGCATTTTATTTGATTTTAAATTCCGTCACTATATTTCAATGCAGTGATGTTTCCATACATAAAAATGTCTGATTAGCAATTACTATTTTTCAACTTATTAGATTCAAATTTAATTTGGTTTAAAACAAAAATGAGAAGAGAAAAAAGCAGATCTAAGCATCAAATAAAAAAAGTTGAAATGACTGAGATACAAATTAAGATACTAAGAAACCATCATATAAAGAAACAGGCAAATACATAAAGCAATCTCTTTTTAATCAATTAGAAAATCCTATTTTAAAGAATATAATTGATTCATGAAACAAGACTGCAAAAAACATAGTATGTTCAAGCTCCTAATAAATAAAAAAAATTGAGTCTACATCTGTAGAAAGTTTACATCTGTAGAATACAATCTGTACTAATACATCTGTTGAAAGTTTTAGAAAAAAAATAATATTTTTCATAAATTTTAAGGAATTTTTCTTTTTTAGACTGTTGAAGAAAGAAGAAGAATATTGGTGAAAAATACAAACCAAACTAGCAGTGATTTATCTAATTTATCTATCATGTAAGCAGCATTTTTTATAATCTATAAATTTTCTATTTATTTTAATGTGTTTGAATATACTATTTGTGATATAGATTATCTCCTGAAATTGAAATCTTAAAAAATATGTGTATATAATTTTTGAAAACTGAAAAGGATTTTTAAATGTACTTTTTACAAAGAAAAGATTATTATATTATAACTAAAGCTGTAAGTTTGGTAGCAGAATTTACCGGGACTATTTGCAGCATAATCTTAATGAATTTAAATTCGTCTTTGACTCAGTCAGACAGAGACTATTATTGTAAACATTAGGCTTAATCTAACATATATTTATCAATTTTTTTGTGTAAAGCTGTTATATTTGATATAAATAAAGCTGTACGTCTGTTTGCAGAATTTACCAACTCAATTTGAAGCTAATCTATTTGCAGCTAATCTTCATAAATTTAAATTTCTTTGCAACTCAGTCCAAGTCAGGCAGAGGCTATTTTTGTAAATCTAACATACATCTTAATCTAACATATGTTTAGCAAATTTCGCACTGAACTAAACTTAACTAAACTTACTGCTAAAACTTATGCATAAAAAGTTTGATTTCAAAATTAATGAAATTTTGATTTTATTTTTCAATAATATTTTCTGGGAAATAGGAATACATTCCTATCCGATCTATTTACAGCTTGTAACCAAATAACCACTTGGTTACAGGTTGTATATGGACTGCATAAGATTTTTAAAAAACTTCACTGAAAGAATATTTGAAACTCTTAAAAAACATTGTATTTTACTTATATTATTTTTATTATATAGCTATTATTATTATTACTATTTTAGTTTTTAAATCGTTTAGAAATTATTTTAGAGTAAAGAAATTATCTGCAAGAATGGTGTTAAATCTGTAGTGTCTACTGCTGTGATGCAGGATTTGGTGCCTGACACCAAAATATTATCTACCAGTCCCTAAGAAAACTAAAATAATCTTCATTTCTCAAAAATAAGTTTTGTCTAAAATAATATGTAGAAATGTTATTTAGAAAAAAATAAATTGATTTATTATTATTAAAAAAATGTGTTTTGAATATGGAATGAGTATGCTAAGCTTAGTTTGTCTGATTCCTAACATTTGATTTGTCTTGAATAAACTTCGTCATGCGAATATATATTTCTTTCAGGGTGCAATCCTCTATTGCTGGGGCTCTGGTTTCCTTTAAATACTTACCTGAAAAATTAAATCCTGTAATCAGACCCCTGATGGATTCCATTAAAAAAGAAGAAAATGCAATATTACAAGTAATATTTTTTTTTATGAATTATTAGAATAAATGACATTTAAATTTTTTTTTTGTAATTTTCAGAATGTACCTTATATTCTATTTTTAATATCAAGGAACAATAATATTTTGCAAGAGTTATATTTTTTGAATTTTGCAAAAAATATTTCTCAATTACCGTAATTTCTCATGCATAGTCCGCACCATAGTATAGTCCGCAGACCCGATTTTATATAAAGAAGAATTTCAAAAATCGTCAGATAGTCCGCACCACCGAATAGTCCGCGGACTATACGTCTGAAATTACATTATTTTAAAGTGGAAATATTAATGTATTTTAGAAACTAAGAACTAAGTATAAATAGAAAAAAATACTTACTTACTAATATACCTTTAGAAATAAAACGCTAAATACATCAGTATCAGAATTAAACAGTTCTAATATATTTTCGGGAAGAGTGTCCGAAAGTTCATTTTCAGCATCACTATCTTCACTGTCAGTGATTTCCTCGCTTTCACCAACAGTCCCGGCTTTTATAAATCCCGATCGGATTGTTGACACTTTAACACTTTTCCAGGATTTATCGACCCATTCGGCAACTTCAGTGTATGAAGCGCGTCTCATATTTCCTCCTTTTGTGAAAGTATATAAACCTTCCGACATCTAGTTCTCCCAGCAAGCACGTACGTGGGACTTGAAACTTTTGTTCACGCTAATATCCAGAGGTTGCAGGATTTTTGTTAAACCTCCTGGAATAACGCTAAGTTCTACACCGATGTTTTTTTTTAGCTTCCGCCTTTACACTGTCTTTTATGTGTGCCCTCATGGAATCCATAATTAGTACTCCTTTGAAATTGAAGAAGGCACCTTCTCACTTCTTCCAAACTTCTTGAAACCAATCGAGCATAATGTCCTCGTTGCACCAACCCTTTTCATTGCACCGTATTACGACGCTTCGAGGATAATTTTCCTTGGGAATTGTTTTTCTCTTAAAGATTAAGTGCGGCTTCAACTTTGTGCGGTCAGCACAGCAGGCGAGCATCACTGTGAAATGGGTCTTTTCTTGGCCAGTTGTTGTTATTGATGCTGTTTTCGCTCCACAAGTATCGACGGTGTGATTCGGTGGACAATCAAATGTTAATGGAACTTCGTCTATATTTATAATATTTTTTAGGGAATACTTCCCTTCTGCAATAACTTTCCTTGTAAACTGAAGGAAAGAAGCTTTTTTTTTTCATCTGCCTCGTCCGGAACAGCCTAACACATTGTTGTTCTGCTGTGAACTCTCAAGTAACGCATGAAGCGGTAAACCCAATTTATTTCTCTCTTGAAATCCGTTATCTGCATCTCTTCTGCCATGGACTTTGCTCGGAGACGGATTTTAACTGTTGAAATGGAGCGTCCGGCATTTCTTTGGTCGAGAACCCATCTCAGTAAATTTTCCTTTACAGCTGGCCACTTTACTTTTTCGTACCGATTGGATAGCTTTCTTCTCATGCTTTTCAACACATCCTTTTGTTTGCGCCAATTTCTCACCGCTTTCTCGTCCACTTCAAAATAACGGCCCGCTTCTCTATTTCCATCTTTTTCAGCTTTCAGAACTACCTTTTTTTAAAACTCAGCAGTAAAACTCCGGCAATGTTTCCCAGACATAATGTTGGATCAACATTATCGAAGATGAAAGACAAAATACGAAAACAAAATACTGTGCAACGTGCTATCCTCGTGATAAGTGGTAATGAAATGTGAATATGTTAAAACAAAACGAAAATAGTATAAACTAAACAAAAATATTATCAAAGGAAAAATATTAATAAAACAAAAACACATCAGAATTGAAGATGAAACGATTTAAAAAAATAATAATAAGCTGAGGAAGATGATCGAAATCAGACAGAAATATGAGCAATGAAAAAAAAACAATAAAAAGCTCTCTCTCAAGCATTTAAAACAAGTTTCTATTTTTAGCAATTCCTCCCCCTATTTTTGCTTCTCAAATCAGGTTTTTTTTTTTTAAATAACTCCGCCTAGGAAGGTCTTTCTTTTATCCCCTGTCTGAAATTCTCACACACTTAGCTTTTTCCCCTCTTCACTGACCCTCAGTTGAAAGTTTGAAATTCTTCTGGAACATTTTAATTGTAAGATTATTCAAGGTTATTGCAAGCTCATCAGCACCCTTTATTCATCAAACATTCACATGCTTTTAACAAGCAGCTGAAGAAAAAAAGGGAGTGGAGAGAGGCATTCATGACAAGTGGAAGAGACATATTTCCTGAAAAAAGCAGGGGGGGGGAGTGTTTGTTTTACAGTTGAGGTTATCACTGGCCCCACCCTGATTTTCTTCATTCATTCCTTTCTGATTTATGCTTCTCCACTCCACGCCCATTTCCTACACTCAACAACTGTCCATATGATGGAAGGGAAAGAGAGACTTAGTTCTCTTGTGGATAGTGGTCTCCAGAAAGTGATTCCAAGCAAGGTCTCGCGCTGTTGTTTATATTTGATCATATCAGAACTGCATGTTTTTTAAATGTCACCGATTTTAACCGTGAACAACCAGCGTATTATCCGCACTGGTGGATAGTCCGCAGCTTCAAAAATTCACATTTTAAACACAGATAGTCCGCGGACTATACGCGCGAAATTACGGTATAAAGATCTTTACATGTATATTTTTATAAAAAATCCAACAAAATTAAGGAATTTTTAAGATATTATTGTTAACCATGTTATTGAAATATATTTTTTCTTACACTTGGTTATTAGAAAAATTGCAGCCTATTCTTTTGTAAGTTTTTCTGATAAGTTAAAATATGTTTTTGACAATAATTTGCTCCAGAAATGCACATTTTTATGTGCATGAGAAGTATGTTTGGAGTTATAAATATGTAACTGAAATGGAATATTAAACCAACATTTCAGCAGAATAGGTTTTGTGCATGAATATTTACCTAGTATAGAAATTAGTGAAAGGTCCTTTGAAGTAGTTAAGAACTTTGTGAAGGGTCCTTTTTTGAGTTTTGGATCTTCGCAAATGTTTCTTACACATATGCAATTTCTTTCTTCATTGACTCCTGAAAATATGTCTTAAAAGTTATTGTAATTTCGATATTATTTTATTTTATTATATTTGTGTATTAAATTCATATACTCCAAGCTGTTATTGAAAAAACTAAATAATATTTTTTTTCTATGTGTCTAATGCTGCTTTCATTTTTTAGCGAGCATCTGCTAAACATTTAGTGAACTTGATGAAATTGTGTTTTGAAAGAAGCAATGCTCCAAATGCTAAAATCATAAAGAATTTGACAAGTTTCCTTTGCTATGATATCATTAATTGGAACATGAGCAATGAAATTGTTGCTTCTGGTGGAAATGGTTCAGTCAATGAAAATCACATACAACAAAAAACATGTGAAATAATTTCTCTCTCTAATATGCAAAAGGTAGTTTGATTTTTTACACTTTCGAAGTTTTATATATTGATTTAGTTTTTTATGTATAAGAAAATAAGGAAAGCATAATCAGTTATACCATACAGCTGAGAGATTAGTAAGAACATAACATACTTTAAATGTTTATGAATTTTTTGCAGTTCTTTATCTTAAAAATATATATTATATCCTTTTTATTTTAATACTTGTGTCATAATATAAAATCATTTTATGAAAAAATTACATAGTACAGTAGGGAACCGATTATCCGGAATGATCAGGACCATTGCTATTTCCGATAACTGATTTTTCCCGTTTTCTGAATCGCTGCAAAAAGCCGTTTTTTTATTATTTATTCTTAAACCCAACTAAAAAATATAATATTTGGAAATAATCTTAGAAAGAAGAAAAACCGTTAAATTAATACACTAATGATTATTTCCAAAATGATGGTAAGGTAAACGTCTTTCAAAAAAGAACGAAAAATCCTAATATCTTATAAGGAAAAGAAAAAAAATTTTTTAAAAAAATGGCAGGAAAATTTATTGAATTTTGTTCCGGTTTTCTGATTTCCAGATAACGGGTTCTGTACTGTACATATTTTTATTACCTTATTAAAACTTTTTATTTAAATTGAACCGAAGCTGTTATAAATAAAAATATTACACTGTTGTGTTAAAAAAAAGATAGAAAGTGCTGTGTTATAAGTTTTTTATTATATTATTTTGTGATGATCAAATCTTTTTTCATTATGCTTAAAGGCAGCAGAAAAAGTTGTACTTCGTCGAAGTAACTCAACAACATCTAAGAAAGCGCTGTCTTTTTCTCCTGATGAAAATCCCATTGAAAATGAGGTAACTTTGTAATGTATTATATAATAAATTGGTTCGAGTGATGCTTTTATTAATCTTTATCCCAGGAGTGTTTGTGGTCTGATATTTCCAAAAATTTTAAGCTTTTATTTACAAAAAGACTGGAGATTTTTTTTTAAAAAAGATAGTCATTTTAAAAAATAGCTGTGAATAAAATAAAATAAATTGCTGTAAAATAGTGTAATATCTTGATATTTCAAAAGTTTCTGCCTAAGCTATGGGTACATTTACTTTATTTTTTATGGTGATTTGTTATTTTTTATTTTCTATTCTTGTTAGATTGTTGTATTAAAAACTTTTCTTGATTAAAAACTTTTGAACTTTAGTATTTCTGTCTCAGTAATAACTGTCCATAAATAAAAGCAGTTTTTTTTTTTTAAAATCATGCTTGCTTGTTAGAAATTGTAAGAACAAATTATGTGAAAAAAAAATATTGGTTTTATTTATGTTACATTCTTTTTAGATACAGTAGATATTTTTTAGTTAAATCCTTATTATGTGGCATTTTTTTAGCCTGTTTTTATAGATTCATTAAAAATGGAGTACTGTAAGTAAGATTATGATACTGAAAAAATTTTTTTCTTCATTTTAAAAATGAACGTTGTATTGTTCAGTGTATTTTTAGAAATGCTTTAAAAGAAAAGTGTTATAGTATTAAGTAGGTAAAAAATGAGCAAAATTTAGAAATCAAGCTCCTAATTTCCAGTAGCAAAATTTCTTAATTTTGCCTTGTATTTAAAGACATTAAAGCTTGGAGGTAGCATGAATTTAAATGAATAACTACACAAAGAAAAACTACATAATGAAAAACTACTAATGAATAGCTATGCGATAATGTAAGTAATTTTGCAAACTGATTAATAATAAATACTTCTAAAGCTTTGCTGATAAACTAACTTAAATAGTTGCAGTTTTATTATTTAATTGTGTTTCTATGCATTCATTTCTAATATTTCATTTAGTTGCAAAAGAGTAACGAACTCCAAGCTAGAGGTGCTACTAACGTTTTCACTCATGCTGCAGAACATTTTGGAGTGGATTTGCAGAGCAGATTGCCAAGATTATGGGAATCTGTATTTCAACCACTTAATTCTTACATTAATCCTAAAGAAACAGGTAAATATTTGATGAACTTTATGCATAAAAAATTTGCACAGTATGTATGCATGTTTTATAATTTATATTTTGATTATTTAGGATGTGATATGTTTAATAAGGAAATAAATATAATCGAGTTGTTGTGTAGTTTACAAGTTCTAAGAGTCATTTGTCCTTATCTTCATCCAAAACTCCATTCTGAGGTAATTATTATATATTTATTTTTAATATGCATTTTTAATTATTTGGTTGTATTTGTGGGACATTATGTAATTACATCTTTAATATATACTTTTAGAATTGTTGTCAAAATGAAAATTATGTATACATTAGTGGTCAGGCACAAATATTTAAACTAAGAGAAAACTGCATTGAAATCTGTGTAGAAATCGGGGTAAAAAACAGGTTGATTTGCTGATGAAATTAATCTCAGCTTTCTCCAGCAATCAAATAGGTTTTGGAGTTTTCATTTCTGTGTTCCTCAGTAGTGATTTGTTTTATTTTCACACTTAAATTTTTAATCTGCAACTCCTAGAGTGCTTTCTTTTTTTTAATTTCATATTTGATGAGGATTCTAATAATATAAAGGGTTGAACATCATCTACATATATTTTTCATATTGTTTATATAAATGCCTTATTTTTTATTTCTAAAATTAGAAATTAAACTTAAAGCATACTTCAGTTAATATGCTTAAATTAATATGCTTCAGAGATAAATATACTTAATTTTTCTAAAAAATTGAATGAAAAAATGCTAAAAGTTTTTGCTATTTATATTATCAAATCTAAGTTCTTTAGCAAATTCTTATTCTTGTTATAAATTGTTGTTTTTATTTATTATTATTTTTTTTTATTTATTTATTTATTATTATTTTTTTTTTTAGTTGTATGAGCTGTTTTTTGATAATTGTTTAAAATCTTTCTTATTTTAAACACTGTCAATATCTTTTTAGTTAGAAAATGTCTTGCCTTCTATTTCCTGTTGTTTGGAATATCCTTTGCCCTTCGTACGTCACAAAGCTGCCTCTTGTTTGGGAACACTGGGTAAAGTAATCACTTCATCTACAATGAACATAGTTTTAGACAGCATACTGGTTAAGTTGGGAGCGTCTGACAATGATGTACAGAGACAAGGTGCTATTGAAGCTGTATCTTGTATCCTTTATTATCTTTCTTAATAACATGTATACCATTTTCATGCTTATTTTTCACAAAGGACAATAGAAAAAATATCACTTCTTTCAAGAATATGTACTTTTCTATCAATTTTGATGAAGTAGAAATGTTGATGTCTTTATTTTGTTGTTGTTTTGCTTTTTTTCTTTTCCGTTGTTATAGAAAGTATGTGTTATTTGGGAACCATTATACATAAAAACTCTCCAAAATGTTACCATTATTATACAGCAGAACTTCCGATCGATTGCTTCTCAAGGAACTTATTCATTACAAACAATAAATATGGAAAAACGACAAACTCTGGTCAATTTAAAGTATCAAATAATGACTAAAAATATATGAAAATGAATAAATGTGCAATAAGTATAAAAAAATTAAATTGAAAAAAATTAAGTAATTCCTGCAAAAATATTTATGATGCAAAAGGAAGATAAATAAATAAATATATTCATTTAAAATATTTGCAAATCTTGGTTCTCTTTCTTCTGAGTGCAAACAATAAACCTTCGACATTTGTTACAGATTGCATTTTCTGAAAGTTCGTTTGAATAAAAAAAGTTCTTCATTGTTTTGAAGGCTTTGTCTAATGCAAATATTTGCTCTAATTGATTGCGTTAAATTCGGTCTTCATCGGTAACACTTAGCACTTCTGCAGCCATTTCTTAAGCCAAAAATACCACAAATTCCAACATTTTGATCAACTGATGCATAAACATCACACCTGTTGTTTGAGGCATTTTACCCAAACTGTAAGCAATTCGCATTTTTTTCATTATTAGCATCAGAAAAGATCTGATGGAGTTAGAATTACTCTAACCGATTGCATTACTCCAACAGTTCATCAGAAAAATCAGCACTTGCAAATTGACGCCATATTATTGTTTTAAATTTAAGGTGAAGACGTGATCAGTCTTAAACCTAAAAATGCTTATTCAATTTTGAAATACGAGTGCTTTTATATGGAGATGAAAGACATAAAAACATAAGTCATAAACCAATGATGGAACCAAATAACACATATATTAAGCTCGCAGCACAAATTTGATTTTTACATATTTTGTTAAAAATCATTTTAAAGATTTCAATTAATTTTATTTGTTATTATTTTTTTAAAAATTATAGCTTAATAAATATAAAGCTGCACTTCTTTGATTCAAGAAGAAAAGTATCTGCTCGTACATCATAAACATTAGTGCCGGCCAGGTGGCCGAGCGGTTAGCGTGTCTGACTGCAGAGCCAATGGCTGTGGGTTCGAATCCCGCTCTGGGCATGGATGTTTCTCTGTATGTGTTGTCTTCTGTTGTGTGTGAATGTGGCCCACCCTATGAACGGGTATTTATGGCAGTGTGGCGTGGGTAATGTTGCTTGTCTTCGTGACTTAGGTTCACAGGTGCCCACTGGGTAACGTTAAATTAGCAACACTTCCGGCATCTTCCGAGGTGAGGAACAAAAGTTCAGTACCTGCCATTAAAAAAAAAAAGTCTTAAACATTTGTATACACGATGCACATTGTTAGAAATTAGCATAACCTTTGAACTTGCTTGGTATGTAGTAAAACTTCGTAGATTGGTCTTGAGCCTTAAAGTCTTGTTGCTATGTCCATTATTTTATTATTATACCAAACTTTTATCATTTTAGGTCCGAATAATCTTGATTTATGATAATTTTTTTACTTACCATTCAATGTTTTGTTTGAAATCTTAAATTTCCCTCTTAATTGGGAAACTTTATTATGGTATCTTTCACTGTTGCTATATGACAATATTTTGTTTCACTCCTTGATTTCTCGACAAGGTATCATTGAAGAGTTGGGTCTCGAAATTGTACCATACATTGTATTCTTGATTGTGCCTATGTTGGGAAGAATGAGCGACCAAAATGAACAAGTGAGGCTGCTTGCAACTTATTGCTTTGCCTCATTGGTTAAACTTATGCCTCTAGAAGTAAGTTTAAAATTGTATTCTACTTCTTTATTTTATCTTTGTATAGTAGCCCTTTATTATTTTTGTGATTAAAAGAAACAACAAAAAATTGTGTATAGTTAAGTCGCAAAATTATAAAATTTTTTTTTTTAAATTCTGTTTAAAAAAATACTGCACTTTTGATTTAATGATCAGACTTTCAGGAACTAAAAGGATTCTAAGGTCTAACCTTAAATATGTTAATTAATTTGTGGAGGATATTTTAAGTTACAGAAAGAGGTACAGAAACGTTCTTTTACACTGTATATTGAATCAACGTAACTTATTTTGCAGTGGATTTAAGATTTTTAACTCGTAAATTATGGGGATGACTTCAGTCTTGAAAAAAATATGGTCTAAATATTTTAGGCAAGAGAGAAGAGAGTGGCTCAAAGTTTGGGCCCTTGTTAATTTCACTTTTTGCTTGCTTCGCCATATCTTGGAAATTTAAAATCGAAAATGATTATTTTAGAATTTTTCTTCGCTGGAACTCCCCTGAGTGCGCCCTTGCCTTTGAATTATTGTTACAAATACTATTTATATAAGTTTTCAAATAGTTATTGAATTTTTTTAGGGTGGTATAAACACGTCTTCAACATTGGATGCTAATCTGTTAGCTAAGAAAGAAAAAGAAAAAAAGTTTTTGGATCAGCTGATGAATCCTAAAAAGGCCGATCCATATACAATTCCCATTCCTGTGAATGCTGAGCTACGATCTTATCAGCAGGTAATTAAAAATATTTTTAAACAACAAGCTTTTCTTTTTAAAACCCAATAAAGTGATTTGACTGTTGCTGTTAAAATTTGATTCAGTGTCTAATTCAAAATTTCCTAATAAAATTTCATTTTAACCTGAAAATAACTGCATAGATTTTGGAACTGTTAATAATTAGTTCTATTATATATGCATTTGTTTTATCGGTTTCAACCATTCACATTGATACTATTTTTTAATCTTTTTTTTTTTCCTTTCTAAATAGGATGGAGTTAATTGGTTGGCATTTCTGAACAAATATAAGTTAAATGGCATATTGTGTGATGACATGGGGTTGGGGAAAACACTACAATCTATCTGCATACTTGCTGGTGATCATTACCTACGTCAGAAAACTTACAAGGTAATTTTGGTTTTTCTAATTAAAATTTTAAAGATGCGTAATGTTTTGAAATTGGATACTAGCCTTACTTTGGTTTAGGTCGAAAATATATTTTCTTAAAAATATTCTTTTTATTTTCAATTTTATCAAGTAATAGACCTTGTAAGGTTTGAATAACTTTTTAATTATTTATGTAAACCATTTTTGATTCATTACTTATGTATAAATTATCTTGGAAATTATAAAATTCTTTATTGGATAGGAAGTTTGATTAGAAAAAGGTTAAAAGGTATTGCTAAGTTCAACCCAGCTGAGTTGTATTAAGCCAAAAACTTTCTGCAACATCATTGACTAACTAAAATATCCTAAAATGATATTTGTGTTTCATTACAATTCTATTTATTACGTTAACACAAAAACACTATTTCAAAAAAAAACTTTTAAAAATTTAAAAATTTGAAAGTAAAATGGTTTAAATTATTCCGAAATTGAGTTTTTTTATTTTATTATTTTTTTGTGTGTGAATTATCTCATTTTTTTATATTTTCTCATTTAAAGTTTTTATATGTTTTATTTATTTATTTTTTCACACAGAGTGCTTGTGTATGTCTACATTCTATGTATCTGTCAACCGAATACAATTTAATGTTCTCTGTTAAATGATTCTTTCTATTCTTGCGTTACATTTTTTATGCTAAAAATTCTATCAATTCTTTCATAATATTTCAAAACTATTTAAGCATAAATTTCTCAATGCTCTTATTCTTAATATTTTTTTATTATTGTATGTTCTTGAAAATATATTTAAGCTAGAAATGGTAAAATATTTCATTAATCAAATGCTGGTATACTTGACGATTTTTTATTATATGATGTCAAAAAGTGTTAGGTTCATATATTTAGCAAAAAATCAATTCCCTTCAATTTTTCATCTGTTTACAGTTTTGTAATTGGTAGTTTAATGTATTACGCATATCTCTATTATATGATTTACAAAAAATTTGAAACTCTGATTTCCCCTTCCAGAGTATTGAACTTTTTTTTTATGAAAGGAAGTAACAATAGACAGCATTATTTATATTTAATCATATCATCACTTCTTCATTTTATCATATATTTCTTAATTGAAATTTTTTCTCACCTAAGTAATTCAATTGCTGTAATGATAAAAAATATGAGGTTTTGCAATCTGGTTCACTAACTTTTCTTTGGATATTTTATGTATGTATACTTCAAAATATTATGTATACTTCAAAGTAATATTTTGTTAATTTTCTAAAGTTAAATTTTCTTTGTACAAATTTTACAAAATATTTAATAAATTATTAAAAAAAATAATCAAGCTTAATATAAGACATAATTAAAGTGTTAAAAATTTTTAGAGAAAAATGTATTTCTGTTGTATTATGAAATTATGTTTTTGTAAAATTAAAATGCATTATCAAAATAAAATCATGTTTTTTATCATTCAGGAAACTAAGCAGGCCGATTGCAAACCACTTCCTTCTTTGGTTGTTTGTCCTCCTACCTTAACAGGCCATTGGATTTATGAAGTGGACAAATTTGTCGATACCTGTTATTTGAATCCACTACATTACACTGGTCCCCCTGCAGAGCGAATGAGGTAAGTATCATTTTTCACTACAAGTCTTATTCCAAGTTACATCTAATACAAGGGTCATCTCAAAATTTTGATTGCCATCTTTATTACAAATTTAAAAAATCTTTTTACTTATAACATTTGCATCATTTTATAAGCCTAGTTGGCAGGGCACTAGACTCATGTCATGAGAAGGGAAGTTCAAATCCAGTAGGCCGAAGACTCCCCGTGTAGTTAATGGTAACTGGTGCACGTTAAATCTGTCTGGTTACGAAGTCCTCCATGTTTCCATAGCAAACGGTGTCTCTGGAGGTACTGAATTGGAGATTGATTAATCTCTGGTTCAGGTCAGGTAAAAATTACGATCTTGTGGATGAATGAATGGGTCCACCGTATAAACGGGTGTCGGGTATGAGTGTGGCAGAAGTCGAATTTCTGGCCATAGATGGCGCCACTGGAAAACAAGAACAATCACACACCCTCTGTTTTGATGGCCAATGACAACAGCAGCAACATCATTTTATAGGTTGAACATTTCTCGTTCAGGTTAGAAGCTCTGTAGATGGTGTTATAAATTTTGTCATGTTGTACCAGCTCCCTGCTATACCTTTCAGAAAATATTGGACCTTATCTTTATCTCATCAAATAGCTAAACAACCTTGTTCGTTTAAATAAGGAAACATAATAGCCACTTGGTGCTAAATTATAGAAATGGAAGGGGTGTTATGATGCGTCATTGAAACTCTTACAATATAAAACTATTTTACAGTATCTATCAACATTTATTGTGGTTCCAGCTTACATAATATAAATCTTGTTCGACTTAACGGTTCCGCTGGGACAATAAGGTGAGCTTTCTTATTGACATGGTCACGAGCTGCTATGGCATGAGCTTTCAAAAACTCTCATCATTCACAAAAATGCATTGACAGATGTTGCCATTATATAGAATTGTCTTTTAAAATAATGTAAATATTGAAAAAAATAAACTGAATTTGGCATTTCTTAAAAAAAAAATTTGAAATATTACTTTTGGAATACCCTCATACACTTTGATGCCTTTGAAGCAATTAATGTTTGAAAATTTTATGGTATATTTATTGCTGTAAATTGACTTTACTGAAAAATATTTCGCAGAACAATCAATGTTTCTGCAAAATAAATTATGTATTGACTAGAACTGTAGACTTCCATATCCATGTAGCAAAATTTATTTGCAAATGGCGTTAAAGATAGTGTAGGCTGCTGGTAACTTTTGTTTCATTATGTAGGCATTTATACATAATTTAATATTTTACCACCTTAATTTCCTTCTGCATGAAGATATAGTTTGGAAAATAAAATTATTAATCATCTTTTTTAATTGGTAAGAGTATTTATTTTTGATGATACTCGCTGATCATTCTGTTACTTAGGAAGTTCACATGTGTATAAAATTAAATTTATAATTCATGGGTTGATTTTTTTTTCTTCAATATAAAATAATAATAAGAGATATTAGTCATAAAGTTGGAATCCAACAGTGTGCACTCTGCTTGAATCCCCTTCTGTGGTATTAATACTTTACTCTCACAATAATATTTAAAGCTTTGGTCCATTTTCTTTTTTTGCTGTATTGTTTTTGTCAATCAGAAGAAAATATTCTTCTGAACAAAGCATCTCTTCTAATATAATATCTCTGAAAATAATTTTGAAACTAAATTAATTATAATTTATTTATTTCTGGTTATTTCTATAAAATAATGTATTGATAGATATAATTTAGATGTTTAGAAGCTTCAATATCTACAAGCATGTTCAGTTACTGAAAATCAAGGTTTTTAATGAGTATTCTTTATAATAAAAAGTTTTTTAACAATGTTGAATAGTAATGCTTTTTTTCATTGCTGTTAATGACATTCTTTGTACCCTTGTAATTTATGTATGAAATTACAGTTATTGTTTTATTTACGTAGGCTACGACCACAAGTTAAACACCACAATTTAGTTGTGGCATCCTACGACATAGTGAGAAATGATATTGATTTCTTTGGTGCTATTCATTGGAACTATTGTATTCTTGATGAAGGACATATAATTAAGAATGGAAAAACAAAAGTATGATTATTCATGAATTAAATATGTTATAACTGTTATTAACTTTATCTGTTTATTTCATTAAAAGTTTTATTACTGAGTTTATTACTTAGGTTATGCTTTGAATATTGGTATGTTCAAAATACTGTAAACATTATTCTTTTCTATAATATTTTTTTACCTTTCCGGCTAAACATTTTATTTTTTGAAATATCTTAGTTTAAATATTTTGTTCTATATAGTTTATCTCTTTGGTGCAAGCGGGACACAGGTGTCCCATTATATATTTATATATACAGTAGGGAACCGATTATCCGGAACGATCGGGACCATCGGTATTCCGGATAACTGATTTTTCCGGTTTTCTGAATCGCTACAAAAAGCCGTTTTTTNAATCTATCTATATATATATATATATATAAATAAATATATATATATAGCATAATAAATAAATACAAAAAAACACGAAGAAAATTAAGAAAAACAATAAATTTAATTTATTTCGCATAGGCTGCAAGTAAATAGAACTCATAAAATAAGTTCCAAAATGGAGATAAAACAAAGGAAAATTACGGACTAATGAAAAAAGGGGGGAAAAGAAAATTAATAATAAAAATAACTAGAACTGGAGAGGGGAAGAAAAAAAATCTAAAAAAAAAAGGATAAAATTATTTTAAAAATTCCGGAAAACAAAAGACAACATTCTTTTGTTTTCCGGATTTTTTTAAAAGAATTTTATCCTTTTTTTTTCGGATTTTTTTTCCCCTTCCAGTTTTAGTTATTTTTATTTTTAATTTCCTTTTTCCCCTTTTTTTCATTGGTCTGTAATTTTCCTTTGTTTTTATCTTCATTTTGAACTTATATATATTTCTAATTACAAGCAAAAATATGTTTTGGTATTTTTTAATTGTAAATGATATCTAATAGTTACTAAGACAAATCTGTTAGATTATCAAAATTACATTTGTACCAAATTATAAAATCTAAAAGTAGTTTGGAAAAGAAACATTTTCATTCATGTTCAAAAATTAATCACTGATTGATTTTGTAAATTAAAGAAATTTCAGTGATTAATAATTGTTTCTGTTAGATCTAATTAACTGCAAATTTTAATAATTATTGTTTTGAAGTGAGCCATGTTTGGACAATTTTACCTTTAACGCAGTAAAAGACAATGGTGTATCGTGCTGTATTTCATAACCATAGATTATTAAAATGCTAAAAACAATATTCACACATTTTGGCCTAAATTAATTCAAAATAAGGAGAAAAAGTATGAAAAATATGTTTAATAAAAATTCTGCATCAAAGGGTTAAGTATTATTTTTTTTTGCTAAATATTATTTTTCTTTTTCAGTGAAAATTTTGGTTTTGGTTTTCAGTGAAAATTTTGGTCAAATCACACTTTATAACAAACTAAATAAAACAATTTTCAGCATGAAAAATTGACTTAAGCTTAATTTTTATTTATTCCTTCCATACATTATTAATAGTTTCATTCCTTTCTCTTAGTTGGCAAGAGCAATAAAGCAATTATCAGCAAATCATAGACTCATTCTGTCTGGTACTCCCATTCAAAATAATGTCCTAGAATTATGGTCTTTGTTTGACTTTCTCATGCCTGGATTCCTGGGCACAGAAAAACAATTCACTGCTCGTTACAGCAAGCCTATTTTGCAAAGCAGAGATGCAAAATCATCCTCCAAGGAACAAGAAAATGGTAATCATCATTTAGATACTTTTAAAGTGGCACATTGTTATTGATCACATGAATATTGACATAAATAACGTCTTTCATAGGAGTCTTAGCAATGGAATCATTACACAGACAAGTCCTTCCATTTGTTTTGAGAAGAATGAAAGAAGATGTATTAAAAGATCTTCCACCAAAAATTATACAGGATTACTATTGCGAATTAAGTCCTCTACAAGTAAGAATATTTTTCACCTCATATTGTTGTGAAACCATCTTAATCACAGGGTTCCCACGAGTCAGGGAGAACAGGGAAAACCTGGAATTGTCAGGAAATTTTATTTTAGCTTCAAAAATCGGGGAAAGTTGTAATTTTTTTACAAAAAACTGGAATATTCCTATATCATACCAGGAAAATAACCCGTTTTAAAATTGTCAGTAACAGTAATCGGTTGTTAAGATTCGTATTAAATAACTCAAAAATAACTCATAATAATCACTCATAAACTCATAATAACTAGAAAATTTTGATCAAACTGAATACATTTTGTTTCACATTTTGGTCAAACTGAAATGTTCCCTTCCTCATTTATTGATATTTTTTTACACAGAAAATCTAATATTTCACATCACAAATAAAAGAATCAAAGTTTTCTAATAAAAATTATTAAATATTGTTTTTGACTTATGCTCTTAACAAATTTATCTTCTTTGTCAATGCCTTAGAAAGTATTTTTAGTACTTAATGCATAACGGGGAAATGGTTTCAGTCTCGTGGCATTGAGTTATCACATCATAATTGCTTAGGGGTCGTTCAAATATTTTTTAAGCACCTAAAGGGGACGGGATTACTTGTTAGGGGGAGGTACGGTATGAATAAGTATAACAGTGCATAGAGTGCTTAAAAGGTGCTTATTTTTGATTCGTGTTTTTTAAAAGCTCTTAAAGGTGCTTTTTTATTCAGGGTTTGTAAAAAGTGCTTAATTTTCTATGTTTTAAAAATAGATTTTTTTCTTCTTTTGCTGTGTCGATTGTGGTTATAAATTACAAAAAAAGTTTCTTAAAAAAAAAAAAATTCACAATTTTCTCTGCAATATTTATCAGAAATTTATTTTATCATTATGTTATTTTATCATGATTATGTAAAGTTTCTGAAAATGTTTTTGAATTTTATTGATTTTATGTTTATAAATTAAGAGCTTTAAATGATAGAAATTTTTTTTATTTATTAATGCACAAATTCTAATTATGAGTTTGTTTTTTTTAAAAGTGATTAAAATCATTTTTTGAGTGCTTAAAAAGTGCTTATTTTTTTTTTTGAAAAAATCTGGCTACACACCCTGTATAAAGATCTGAATAAGAACAAAAATTCCTTTATTTTTTATGTACTAAAAAAACGTAACAAATATTTGGGGGAAAGAAGAGTTGGAAAAGAATTTCTTCAAATAGTTGCAGCTAAGTATCAATCTCTGAGGGAGAACATAAAATATTTCCTTAGAATAGAAGATTTTTCAACAGAGTTGATACAACTCAGTTTTGCATGAAAGCTCTTATCTGTTCCTAATAGTAACTAAAATTGAACAACTCCATATATTATTAATGTTTGTGGCTACCATATTTTAATATAACTATGATAGAAGTTATTAAGTAAAATAAACACATTACTACTAAATATTACCCTAAAATGATTGAATTTAACCCTAAAATTCTTGAAATTGTATTTTTAGAGTAGAAGTATTGGCGAAAAATTAGTGTTTGCCACATTTTTTAATGTTACATGCAAAGACGTTCGTGATTTGCTTATATTTGCTGACAAAAGGGTCTGACGTGTTTATGTAGTACAGTAGGGAACCGATTATCCAGAACGATAGGGACCATCGCTATTCCGGATAACTGATTTTTCCGGTTTTCTGAATCGCTACAAAAAGCCGTCTTTTTCATTGTTAAACCCAACTAAAAAAAAATATTTTGAAATAATCTTAAAAAGAAGAAAAAACGATGAAGACACTACGATTAAAACGAACGACACTAATGATTATTTCCAAAATGATGGTAAGGTAAACATCTTTCAAAATAGAAAGAAAAATCCTAAAATCTTATGAGGAAAAAAACTTTTTTTTAAAAAAATGGCTGGAAAATTTATCGAATTTCGTTCCGGTTTTTTGGTTTTCCAGTTTTCTGATTTCCGGATAACGGGTTCTGTACTGTATTTGAATAACTCAAAAGAAGGAAGAAACCAATGTATATTCTGGTATATAAATTTACTGTTTCTGGTATGTCAGGTGTATAAGTTGACCCCTTAATATACCAAAAAATTATTAAGTCGGCAAAGTTTTCTCAAATTTAAAATATTTCTCATTGTTTTATCTGGATATGAAACATTTGCCCACCAATAAAGATTCTATGAGGTGCCCCCTTAAATAAAGACGCATTAACAATTGCTGTAAAGCGATTTACCAACATTTTAAAATCTTCTTAAAAGTGTGGAATTTCTAATAATTTGGCTGGGGAGTAGACGAGTTTTTGTAAGACTCAGTGAAGGAAAATAAAATGAATCCATTGCAGAGTTGGATACATGTGACTAAACTGCTAGCATTATTGAATCCAACACAGACTATCTGGAATCTTTAAATTTGTAACTTTATGGTATGTTTCAATAGTTTTATTGTGATATATATATATTTTTTAATCTTGAGTAAGTTATCTTAACTTTTCTTNTAAAAGTTTTTTTTTTTATTAATGCACAGATTCTAATTATGATTTTTTTTTTTTTTGAAAAGTGATTAAAAGCATTTTTTGAGTGCTTAAAAAGTGCTTATTTTTTGTTGAAAAAATCTGGCTACGCACCCTGTATGAAGATCTGAATAAGAACAAAAATTCCTTTATTTTTTATGTATGTGAAAAAACGTAACAAATATTTGGGGGAAAGAAGAGTTGGAAAAGAATTTCTTCAAATAGTTGCAGCTAAGTATCAATCTCTGAGGGAGAACATAAAATATTTCCTTAGAATAGAAGATTTTTCAACAGAGTTGATACAAGTCAGTTTTGCATAAGAGCTCTTATCTGTTCCTAATAGTAACTAAAATTGAACAACTCCATATATTAATGTTTGAGGCTGGTTTCACAGAATTTAACAAAGTAGAAAATGCTACCATATTTTAATATAACTATGATAGAAGTTTTTAAGTAAAATAAACACATTACTACTAAATATTACCCTAAAATGATTGGATTTAACCCTAAAATTCTTGAAATTGTATTTTTAGAGTAGAAGTATTGGCGAAAAATTAGTGTTTGCCACATTTTTTAATGTTACATGCAAAGACGTTCGTGATTTGGTTATTTTTGCTGACAAAAGGGTCTGACGTGTTTGTGTAGTACTGTAGGGAACCGATTATCCGGAACGATCGGGACCATCGCTATTCCGGATAACTTATTTTTCCGGCTTTCTGAATCGCTACAAAAAGCCGTCTTTTTCATTGTTAAACCCAACTAAAAAAAAAAAAATATTTCGAAATAATCTTAAAAAGAAGAAAAAACGATGAAGTAATACACTAATGATTATTTCCAAAATGATGGTAAGGTAAACATCTTTCAAAATAGAAAGAAAAATCCTAAAATTTTATGAGAAAAAAAAACTTTTTTTTTTAAAAATTGGCTGGAAAATTTATCGAATTTCGTTCCGGTTTTTTGGTTTTCTGATTTCCGGATAGCGGGTTCTGTACTGTATTTGAACAACTCAAAAGGAGGAAGAAACCACTGTATATTCTGGTATATAAATTAACTGTTCCTGGTATGTCAGGTGTATAAGTTGACCCCTTAATATACCAAAAAATTATTAAGTCGACAAAGTTTTCTTAAATTTAAAATATTTCTCATTGTTCTATCTGGATATGAAACATTTGCCCACCAATAAAGATTCTATGAGGTACCCCCTTAAATAAAGACGAATTAACAATTGCTGTAAAGCGATTTACCAACATTTTAAAATCTTCTTAAAAGTACGAAATTTCTAATACTTTGGCTGGGGAGTAGACGAATTTTTGTAAGACTCAGTGAAGGAAAATAAAATGAATCCATTGCAGAGTGGGATACATATGACTAAACTGCTAGCATTATTGAATCCAACGCAGACTATCTGGAATCTTTAAATTTGTAACTTTATGATATGTTTCAATAGTTTTATTGTGATATATATATATTTTTTAATCTTGAGTAAGTTATCTTAACTTTTCTTATCTATATTTACATACTTTAAAGCATTGTTTGTAAAAAAATCTTTATACATTAAGAAAATATGATGAGAGAAAATGCAAAATAAACTATATAGTTTTTGAAAGGAATAAATTCATATCTGTCTCATTGCTCATAATGCAATGATATTTCAATTTCAACTTCATCAGCAGTGTATAAGTCAAGCCTCTGATGTTGGAAAATTAACTATAATAACATAAATTATAACATAATAACTGAAATAACATAAATAATAATGCAAATCATAATAATATAAATTAACATTAATACGATCACGAATTTCACGATCAAATATCCAACTTTACCACCAGTTTATAAGTCAACCAATACACCAAGATGTACGGTAAGTGTGTAAAAAATGATTTAAAATAATCAAGTGAGATAAAAGAATTCACACTCTAACATTAAAAAAAACTTTAATATTTATTTTACTCTAGGTTCGCTTGTATGAAGACTTTACCAAAAGTAGAGCCAAACAATCAGTAGAAAATGTCATAATGGAAGGAGACACGTCTTCTAACTCTGCTGGAACTTCACATGTTTTTCAGGTAATTATTTTATAATGATTTCTAAAAATTTTCATTTGGTTACAGTTAAAAAAAATTTTTTTTGAATTTGAATTTAAAAAACTTTATTAGTATACTGCTGTGCAATTGAAAAATAATTCAAAAAATTCAAATTTGAGATTTTTATATACAGTGGTATATCGGATAATCGAATAACCGCTTATACGAATTAAATTTAACGGAACCAAATCATTATGTGTGAAACTGGTGATAAATTTCCTTGTTTAATACTTTTTGTTTTTAGTCCCCACTTAATTGCATAAAGAAGAGGTACTGAAAAGGGAAGAAAATTTTTTATTTTTAAGAAATGTTTCTACAGTTAGAATGGAATTTCCATTTTTCAGTGAAGAAAATAAGAATACAATAGGTGGTCACTTCAATAGGGACTTCCTGTTCATTAGTTGTTCTACACAGATGTTAGGAGTATAGTGTAAGAATAAATCTAACCTTGCTGGCTCGGATGTGAAAAAAGGTACTTTGTGATTTATTTTGCAGTGAAAACTTGCGGTCCCTTCCTGGTGCGCTAGTAGCTTTGATAAGAAAAGGTTTCAATAACCTAACACACTAGTGTACAGTGTGTCTTTCTCTTAAGTAGAATAATCATTGCTTACTCCAGTGAACTTAAATAACATTTATATTTTATGATGCTTTTAATTAAAATTGTTTATTAATCATAAATTGGTGTTTATTTAATCAAAATACTACACTATGCTAAATACCATTAAAAAGTAAAATTTTGCAAAAATGTATAATTTAAGATTGAATAAAGCATTCCCCTTTTAGTTGAATAACCCACTTAATTGAATAGAATTTTCTGGAACCAATGATATTCCTTTAAGCGGAGTTGACTGCATCTTTGTATGGTAAGCTACTTATTGCAAAAAAATTTTTTTCAAAAATAAATTTTATTTTATTCGCTTTTATAAATTCTATTTTATCATTCATAGCGTTAACAATAGAAGGAAAATAGTTATCAAGCCACTTTTCTCGGAATCAATCGTGAAGCGTTTTTATTTTGTTTAATTGCACGGCAGTATAAGTTCATGTGCCAATAAATATTCTCTAATGTATTTACTTCTTGTACAGGCTCTTCAATACCTTAGAAAAGTGTGTAATCATCCTAAACTTGTCCTTTCATCTAATCATCCAGAATTTGAAGCTATAACTGCTCAACTTCAAGAACAAAATTCTGGTTTACATGATATTAATCATGCAGCTAAATTATGTGCATTAAGGTATGTATGTAAATATTTTTAGTTTAGTTTAGCGTTTTATAGATAGCCCTTTTTTTAGCCTTACTGTATATACATTATTATTAAAAAATTCACTTTATTTTTGTAGGCAGTTGCTTTTGGATTGTGGGATAGGAGTTTCTAATAACACTATTGATTCTAGTGAACCGACTCCTGCTGTCAATCAACACAGAGCTTTAATTTTTTGCCAATTGAAAGGCATGTTAGATATCCTTGAAAATGACTTGCTGAGGTAAGTTTTTTTATTACCACATTGTTAAAAAAAGGAGAATGAAATATTGTATAGAAATAATTCTTTTAAAATTAATCTGCAAGTAAAATTATTTCTTTCATAAGACAGTAGTTCAATTAGATCCATATTTCGTGTGGAGTCTGCCCATATTTTTGACACTAGAGTAAAGCAGAATTAGTAATGAATTATCTTAAGGAATTTTTTAATCTAAAGGAATCTGTGAAATAATCTTATGGAATCTGGGAAATAATCTTAAGGCATTTTTTTAAAAAAAATGCGATTTAAAGTTTGTTTAAAAAAGTAATATCTAGTACAGTAGGGAACCAAATATCCGGAACGATCGGGACCATCGCTATTTCGAATAACTGATTTTTCCGGTTTTCTGAATCGCTACAAAAAGCCGTTTTTTTATTGTTAAACCCAATTGAAAAAAAAAAAAACATATTTGGAAATAATCTTTAAAAAAAAATGAAGTAATACACTAATGATTATTTCCAAAATGATGGTAAAGTAAACATCTTTCAAAAAAGAAGGAAAAATCTTATGAGGAAAAAAAAAATTTTTTTTTTTAAAATCGCGGGAAAATTTATCGAATTTCGTTCCGGTTTTTTGGTTTTCCGGTTTTCTGATTTCCGGATAACGGGTTCTGTACTGTACTTATTTACAGTATTTTATATTCTAACTGCTGTTTTGTGGATTTATATATATAAGGGTGGATCAAAACAATTGATGCCATTTTTGTGTTTAAAAATAATTAAGCATTGTTTTGCATTTTTCGAATTTTTTTTTGTTCTGGTTAACTTCTTTTTTGTAATAAGAAATAGTTTTCCTTTATAAATAATTATCCTCAAATTTAAATACAATAATAAACTTTTGGCAAACACAAAATCTCAATTAAAAACTTTTTGCAAGCACATGTAAAAAATTTCAACCTTTTTGTTACCAAATAATTTTGATAACATTTATTTGAAAATCACTAATTTCTTTAAGTATTTAAATTTTTTAAAAACTGTATTAATTCTTGTACATACCAGCATATATTTCTTTAAATTTAGCAGCTTCTTGACATTATAAAATTAGTTGACTTACCTTGTTTTACATCATATTTTTCTTTCTTCATATATTTAAAATCATTCAGGAACATTTAAATGCAAGCATTTAATAAATATTTTTTTATAAAAAATCACCTCTGTCTATTCAATTTTTGATGTCTAAAAGTCAAATATAATGTCAATTTTTTTATTTATTTTTAAATATGAGTAATACTTAAAAAATTTCCTGTGATAATGATAACTTTTCCTTTCTGCTCATCCTTTTTAAAAGGACATAATAAAGGAACTCTTAATTGAAATATAAGAAAAAGTTATATTATTCTAAATATCTTCCTTTATCTTTAGGTCATTAATGCCAAGTGTTAGCTATCTCAGGTTAGATGGTAGTATTCCAGCTGGAATTCGTCATTCTGTTGTTCATAAATTTAACAATGATCCATCCATTGATGCCTTACTTCTTACTACACAAGTTGGTGGACTTGGCTTAAATCTTACTGGTGCTGATACTGTAATTTTTGTAGAACATGACTGGAATCCTATGAAAGACTTACAGGTAAATGATATGTTTAAGTATTTTTTTTAAGAAAAAGAGTTAAATTTTAAACTGATGGAAACATTGTTTATAATAAAACTGTCAAAGATTTTATTTAGTGTTTTATATAGTGTAAGAATCTTAAAAACTAAATAGGTTTAATTTTTATATAATATTTTGATAAACTAATATATGATTAACAAAGATTTGATATCCCTGTTTGATTTTAGCTCAATTTATGTCAGTAAAGTAGTATGGCATTTATTGTCTATATAAAATTATTTACAAATTCTATCAATTGCAAAAAATAAATTTTTTAAGAAAAAAATTTATTCAGCCATTACTGGAAATATAATTATTCTTCAATATTCAGAAAACTGTATTTCATCATAAGTATTTATACTAAATTGATAACAAATGTTTCCCACCATCTGTTACCAGTCACTATTATAGTTACCGTCAATATGTCATAAATGTGTGTGACACTATGTATCTTAATTACTATTACTACTATCCTTTCATGTGAATATGTTTATTTTTAAAGTTTATTCTTGCAGTTGTTTAATTTAAAAGAAATTGTTTATTTCCAAACAAGTTGAGCTGTAATATATTTTATTTACATGGATAATGTAAATGTACATAAAATATAACCATGATTTAATTTATATTTTAACTTTTTTAATTTAGTATTTATTTTAATTCAAGTGCTTACTTAATTGCTTTTTCTTATTGTGAAAGAAGATATTTAAGATTTAATGTATTTTTGATTCTTCCCTGTTTTTGGAACATCTGTTTGAAAGGACGATATTTATACTCCCGGGCAGACTGAGAAAAATCCCAATTAAGGGGTTAAGTATAACCTCTGACTAGTTGGTTTTAATGTGGGTGGATCGTGCAGCTCCCCTTTTTAATTCAGGATGGGTTAAGGATATCGGAGTTTTGATTGGGTTTTAACTTTTAAGGTGGGAGGTTTTGAGGGACTGTAATAAAAAGATTATTGGGTTATAAGAGTGAAAAGAGAATGAAAATGGAGGTAGTGAAGTTGATTGAAATGTAGTTTTAACATGAAAAGAAGTAAAGTGGATCTGAAAAGAAGTAAAGTAGATCTAAACAGAAATGATAACTGTCAAAGTGACCTGTGACGATTATTTATTTTTGATCTATGATATTTATTTTAAGTAAATTTTTATTTTTTTATTTTCGAGTATTTAATAATTCCTTCTTGGTTTTCCCTTCCATTTAGAATTTTTTTACTAAATTTTCTCCCTCAATTTATATACTTGTTTTAATGTTGCTGTTTTCAAGAAGAAGAAAAAATTGAGTTTCTTTTTTCTTTCACCTGAGAAAAGTTTCTTTCCCTCAAGTAGATGATTGACCTAAGCGATTGCACTTCTTTCTCTTTTCCCTTCTTTTTTATATTTTGTTGTCTTGATTCGTTTATTATTTCTACGGAGTTCTCGAATCTAAACTAAGTGTGGTTAAGGCTGTTGCTATTTGATGATTGGTCAGCACTATGGCCGCGCGTCCCTTTGAAATGTAAGTTTGATCACTGGAGCCCTTGCAGGCTCTCGCTTCACTTCCTAAATGATTTTTAATTGCGGTCGCCTTCTGCTTTTATTATCAAATTTTTTATTTTATTTCTGCCAAGATGTCAAGGGGTATTGATTTCTGAAAGATTTTTCTGATGTCTCACAAAATTTCGCGTTTTGGTTGTGCCTTAGCTATTTTTCTTGGTGTATATTACTATGCCGCCATGATGGTTTGATTTGTTATCATCCACTCAGGCATATTTTTTGTGATCCTGAGAGCGTTGAACTTGTCTAAATTTTTAAAAAAATAATGGAAGATCTGTAATAGAAGAATGTATCCGTGCAAAAACAGTATTATTCACTTCGGTCCAGCGAAGGGATCAGGACTAAAGCTATTCCGAATTGAATCATATGCCACCTCCAATAAAAATGATATTTGTGATGCCAATTCTGTGTTTTACTGTATTAGCATTGTTTTACTTAGCATGGGAAGAGATCCATGGTTATTGAAAGATAACATAGCCAAAAAATAAAGCCAACCCCCCATAATCATTATTAAGTTTGAATATAATTTGGCGAAGGCGAATTGCTTAAAAGACTGAGAATTAGTACAACCATGTAACTGAACCGTTCTTGTGGTAAGAAATAAAGAGTTATAGATTTTTGTTTTCGATTTTGTCGCGACAATGAATTAATGAGTCTTACATTAGTATTGAAATAAAAAGTTAGCTGTTGCATTGAGAAAAGAATAAAATATTTCATATTCGCTTTTTTATAAATTGTAATAAAAATTAAATAATTTGTTTAAAATTTCAATTCAGAATGATTAAAAAAATAAGTTTTAAGAAATTTTAAAAGCTAGGAAATATGTAATGCCTATTATGGCATCACAGTCTCTTTAATTACTTAGTCTGCTAGAACAATTCCTATATTTATAACTTAGCATTATTTGTAATAATTTTCAAAATGGAATTTATTTTTTTATTAAAAAAACCTTTAGGCCATGGATCGAGCTCACAGAATTGGGCAAAAGAAAGTTGTCAATGTGTATAGGTTAATTACCAGAGGAACATTAGAAGAAAAGATTATGGGGTAAGTGTTTAAAAAGTTTTTTTTAATGTATCTTTTTCTCTTAATTTTTGTAATACAATATTAAAAGTTACTTATATTATACATTAAGTAACTTATAAAGTAACCAAAACTGTTGAAAAGCAATCGACAGTAAAAGAGTAAATCTAGAGGCAGGCTTGCTGATTAAGACCTGAAAATAACCACTCGCCACTTGGTGAGTTACAAGAAAAGTGGCAATTTAAATTAGATAAGAAACCAGTCACTTTTTGCCAGAGTTTTTTTAAAAATTGTTTAATGATAAATGTACAACACATTTACCAAAGTTTCATTTTTGCACTAGTTGCTTACTTTTTTTTCATTTAAATATTTCTGTTACATGAAAAATCATGCTCTAGAAAAAGAAAATTTATTTTGATTAATTATCAAGAGCTTAGTATTTATAAGCAATAACAAATTGTATTCATTCTTCTGTTAGTTTAAAATGAGAAATGGTAGCTGTCAAACATATAAATATGTATTATATTTAACATAAATATACATTTAAGAACAGGAAAGGAATTTTAAAAAATCTAAAATATTTGTATGAATTAGTGATTTACCTGAACTTAAAAAAGTATCTTGTCTTTATTAACAACCGACAGCCTTAGAAAAAAAAAACTTGTGAACTTTTTATAGAAATAAAACAAAACCAAAGGATTGAGTTTTGTAAATAAGAATAATAAAAGGAGATAGTAGCATCTTCATCTAACTAGCCATTATGCCTATTGCAAAAAAAGGTAATTAAACTTAAGCAAAATTCGTTAACAGTCTGTTTGGAGAAGAAAAAAATTATGTCACTTTTTCATATGCTTTAGCATTGGAGTAAAAATTATTTAATACTTCTCTGTGTCTAATTTAGAAAATTTGAAGAAGTAATTATCTGATGTCACTAAAAAATATGCTTCATTAATGAAAGGTTTATAACCTGAAGCTTATGATAACTTATAATATATGAAGCTTATGATAACTGATAACTTATGTCCATCCATCATGGCAGATGGGTGGATATCTGTTTCTGGAAAAGTTATCAAACAACCTAATAAATTCTGATGAAATCAAGTGTACTAAAAACGCAATCATCACTTAAGTCGCAATTTATAGTTTTTATGTTGTAATAATATCCTATGAAAAGGATCTCGATGATATAAATTAAGAAAAACAAGCTAGAATAAATGTTGAACATCATTTAACAACATGGTGTGACTTTATCGTTTATTCGTCATCAATGGAGCTCATCTAAAACAGAATGCTCAATGACATTTTACAGATTTCAAGATTATTTAAAAGATCTCCATTTTTAAATATATTAAAAGATGCAAATTTTAAGTGCTGAAAAATCTTATTTTTTAGTAACAATTTTGTTTTCTTTTTAAATTTTGGGCCTGTTTTTTATAATATTTCTATTAAAGTAAGATAGTTAAAATCCAAAAATTTGTAAAATTCGGATCTTACAAACCTCTGAAAATCCTCCTACGAGTTAGGATTTTCAAGGTTGGGCTGTTATATGTTTCTAGAAACTTATCTTTTTTTAAAATTTACAATTTTGAAAATTTAGCTTTTTTATTCATTATTTATTTATTTTTTACAGGCTTCAAAAGTTTAAGGTTTCTGTAGCTAATTCTGTGATAAACCAAGAAAACACAAATCTTCAAAATATGGGTACCGACCAATTGTTAGATTTGTTTACTCTTGACAATAAGGGTGAGAAAATTGCATCCTCCAACGCAAATAAAGATTCCATTGAAACAAAAGGTATTAAATCTGTTCTGGACAATTTACCTGAACTTTGGGATACCTCACAGTATGAAAGTGAATATGATTTGTCCAATTTTTTAAAATCCTTAAAATAAAATTTAAAAAAATATGCACTCTGAATCAACGGTCATCTTGTTTAAGGATTTGTGAAAACATATTTTAATACCATTTTAAAGTCTTGATTTTGTTTTTTCATTTGCTGCACAAAAATGTCTTAACATTATTGTTTTTGTAATCTAAATTGTTATTTGTTGATTGTATTTAGAATGAGTGTTAAAACATTTATTGAGATTAATTTTGCATTTTCATTCTTGCCAAGTTTAACAGGTGTTTCTAAATATAGCATTGTATGAGACTTAAAACAGTCTATGTAGGCTATTCTGAAAACTGATGTTATGTTTTTGAAAATAATAAAAACTGATTACATAGTTCTTTTTTAAAAAAAGAACTATGACTGTGCATTTATATAACCACCTCACTATTTATTAGGGATGTAACAAATATTCGGCCTTGTTGCTGAATATTCGATTGGCTGAATATTCGGCAAAGTAGTTAGAAAAGTTTTTATTGTTGAATTTTTTTTTAAAATTTATTATTATAAATTTTTTTTAGTTTGAGTAGATGTAATAAAGAGTAATCTAAAATTGTATTTTATGATACATTATTAGAAATAGTTTTTACACATATTTAAGTTCTAAAACTTATAAATTTGGTTCTGAAAGACAAATGGAAAAGTGAAATTTGAAGAATTGAAGCTAGATTACTATATACTGAACTTCGAGTTTTGTACTGCTGATATTTTTAAAATTATATTCAAAAACAGAAAAATTTTTTCGTTTTTTAGCACTTTTTGTTTTAAGAATTTGGAATGTTTTTTATTTGTTTTGTTTTTGCTGTTTTCTGTTTTTGTTATAGCTCAGCATTTTATTGCAGCATTTCAAATAGACTAATTCTTTTATTGTCACTTTTTTCTTGTACGGTAAGACAGATAATCGATAGCACAGAAAACTGATTTTCAGCATAAAAGTTGTATTTTGGGAACTAAAAACAATTATTTTCTATTTTTCCTTCACTTTTTTAATTAATTTTGTTGAACTAAAATTTTGTTTTAAGAATAAAGGCGTTTTTTTCTCCAACTTTTTCTTTAATTGCTGTTAGTCAGTTTATTTATCTTAAATATTTCTAATGTGTAACCATTATAGTTTTTCCCCCTTAACCCCATATAAATAATATAGGTAAGCTTTGATTATTTTTCTATAATGACTAACTTATTTTTAAATAAAAAAATAATATTTGTAATTTTTTTTAATGTTGCTATTCGGCTGCTGAATATTCGATTTATGAAAATGTTTATTTTTTTGGCAGAATATTTGGTATTCAGCTAAATCACTATTCGTTACATCCCTACTATTTATAAAATTTCACTTTTATACCTAGCAGCAGTAGTCATCACTGTGTTACTTTATTGCACTGCAGATTGTTCTGTTGAAGAACATTTTTCATTTTAAATTTCTATAAAACGTGTACATATAAGGCAAGTGGAAAACATTCATGTTTCTAATATGTGATTTTCACATAATGCTTTAAATTTCATTTAAAAAAAATTTTATGTGTGCAAAATTTAAATTACACACAGTCCCATTGATGCAACAATTTCAGAGGCAGATCTGGTGTTATCAGACTTAAAAATAAAAATCTGATCCGAAAAATCCAAGTTGCTTGGCTTTGATATGCTTGAAATGTCACAATTATATTTACTTTGTTTTTTATGTAGTAAATTGCAAGCTTTTATGTGTGCAAGATTTTGATTAAAAGCAAACCACAAGATGCTGGAGTCAGGGTTAGCTTAGAGGCAATTCTCCTTAAAAATTAATCTATCATTAAGTTAAAAATAAATCTGTGCTTGGAAACATTTTCTTTTTGATATCCGTAAAATCACATATCTCAACTTATATAATTTTGAAAGATGTTAAGTACTAGGACTACTATTTCGAAGTTTGAAGTGAACTAAGTCTCAATCTTTAATAAAAGTATAAATGCTAAAAAATTTTTAAAAAATCATATGTAAAAAAGAATATAATTTTTTTGATGAATATTTTCAAGATAAATCTTTCAATTATGTGATCCTCTTTCAAAAAGTATTTTATTTTATAACTGCCTTACCTATTTCTTGAAGCGTTAAATGCATTTGTTTCTTTTTATACATGTTATCTAGTGCTAAAGAAAAAGAAATCTCTTTCTTTAAATTAATCAAAAGAAATTAATTGGCATTAATTGCTGATCTGTATATGATAATGAAACTATGGGTTGGAGCATTTTCATTATTTTGCAGTAACAAGGTTCTATTGTATTNAGCGTTAAATGCATTTGTTTCTTTTTATACATGTTATCTAATGCTAAAGAAAAAGAAATTAAGAAAAAAGAAATTAATTGCTGATCTGTATATGATAATGAAACTATGGGTTGGAGCATTTTCATTATTTTGCAGTAACAAGGTTCTATTGTATTGAAAAAGAATTTTTAATTCCTCAAAATGTTGGTATTTTTTTTTTTTTTAAATTTTTGTTAATTATATTTTGATAAGTTAATTCGTTAATTCTGTGTAAAATTCAAATAGAAGACTTGCCTCTATCCCCCACTCTTGATTCTTACAAATGTTTTTTATGTGTACATTGAATTTAAATGTATGGTTTTTAAGCTAAGCAATACAATCTGAAAAGAAAACTCAACATATTGTAATTCGCTAATAACTCTGCATTTTGCTGTTGATTTTTTGTGTATTAAAAAACTTGTGTCTTAACATTTCACTGTGAAAATCACAAATTTTTTTTATGTTGAAGCAATATTACTTTTTTTTTAGTTTTTCCTATTGTAAGAAGCACTTTCTTATAACATTGTGTGTGTACTTAATACTATTTTTATCTTGCTCAAGACAGCAATAAATATACCCTATTACATTAATTTTTTTAATAAAAGTAATAAATTTGCAATATACTTTTTTAAATTAATAAATAATTGAATTCTGTTACAATTACAAACTGATTTTCAGTTTAATCATAGTAACTTTAATGTATAATGTTAACTTAATAATAATGTAGCTTAACATAATATAATACTTCAATATGTAAACAGTACATATATATAGCATAATAAATAAATACAAAAAAAACACGAAGGGAATTAAGAAAAACAATAATAAAAACTGATTAAAAGATTATATCTTTTATTTTCCGGATTTTTTAAAAAACTTTAGTCCTTTTTTTCTGAAATTTTTTTTTCCTTCCAGTTTTTTGTTATTTTTATTATTATTTTTCTTTTTCCCCTTTTTTTCATTGTTCTGTAATTTTCCTTTGTTTAACTACATTTTGAACTTATATATATAATATCAAAGGTAACTTTAAATGGCAATAACTTATAGGAAATAACGTAGGAGAAAAAAAGCATTAAATCTACACATAGATTTTAAAATTACAATCAGCAATATAGTGGATTTAAAAAAATAATATAGAAACAAATTAACTACTATATAATGTGAATATAGTAAAACTAATGTGAGCTATAATGTATCAAAATAACTTTAAATAGCAATAACTTATGTATTGAAAACCAAAATATATGGACACAGTACAAATATTTTTACCACCGCAATATAATGAGCATTAAAATAAATTATGCAGCTATTATTATTATTGAATCATATGAGAATAAACTCAAACTAAGCTACTTGTTATCATTCATCGCCAAATTTAAAATTTAGTTAATATATTAGCAATAATATTATTAACAGTTGTATGCATCTTGTTGTTAATTTTATTTAAATAGAAATGTATATCCAAACACAATATCTAAACTTTGTTGCCATGGTAATATAATAAAAACCCAACATAATCCTAAAGAAAGTGATAGAATGTGATTATAATATTAGCTATGCTGATTAGAATGTGATTATAATACTTTAAAAAACATTTTTACCATCAAATGCTTTTTAAAGTCTGAATTTTGGTTATTGATTAATTTAATTATCTCCATAGTTGGTTTCTTTCAAAATTTCATGATTGATTTTCCATTGCTAGTGAAATGAATTAGAATGAAAAATTAATCGCATTATCAATTTTAAATTTATCAAATAGTATTCACTGTTATGAACATTTGCCCTCTATAAGCCTTAGTTATGAATTTTAAGCTGCTTTTTCTAAAACAAAAACCAGTTTCTCCCATTTTACTCTATGATACTGTAACACATAACAGGGAAAATTCTGTACAATTTTGGCCTCAGCCAAAATACTTATGCGGTTTATGTGCTCTTTGTTAAGTTCAAAATTTCAGGCTGTTTTTAAGTGTTAAAGTTAAGGTAAATTCTACTCACTGCATTGATATTTTGTACAAAAAAAATTATCAAAAAAAGAAGAAAAAGAAAATCACTCAAAAAGAGAATTTATGTAGTGGAACAACTTCGTGAGTTTTATTTATTTAGCTTTTTGACTTTCTAAAATATGTTTTATAAGACACTCAAAATTCCAGTCACCTGGGTGGGCCCTGGCCTTCTCTAAAAAATAGGTTAAGACCATTTCGAAGTAAAATTATTGTTCCCCAATGTTCTAGTTTTGGAGGATTCGACATATTCGTTTTTTATAAGTAATATGTTAAAATTGATTCTACTAAAAATGCTACTATTTGAAAAAAAGAGTTAATTTACTAATAGTGCTCTTTGTAGGCTTTTTTTCTTCAACAATGGTTGACTTAAAATTCCAGTAAAAGCTGTTTTGTAATGTTTAAGTGTAGGTGTACTCTACATAGAATTTTTTTTTAATAAGAAATATGCCAAAATCGAGATATCTAAAATTATAAGAGTTTATTTATTAGATCAGTTTTGCGGCTCTATTCGTTTGTGTAGCTTTTGTTTTCTAAAATGTGTTCTAAGAAGCTTCATTCATCTTAAATTAAAGTTTTTTTTTATGTTTAAATATAGGGGAACTCTACATAGTTATTTTCTACAAGAAATATAGTCTAATTGTTAAAACTAACAAACTCCACCTTTCGAAAAGAAGGTTAATTTATCATATAGAAGGTTATTTTATTAATTATACATTAGTATTTATATACTGGAACAATTTTGTGGGCTTTCTTTATTTTTGTTCACATTTTTTTCCTCTTCAAATGTGTTCTACACCAGACTTAAAATTCCAGTTATTTTAAAATAAAGCTGTTTTCCAATATTGTTGGTATAATCTATGTTGACATTTTTTATAAGATATACGTAAAAATCGATATGTCTTAAAAATGCCACTTATAAAAAAAGGAAGTTAACTATTAATGTTTATATATTGGAACAACTTTGTGGCTTTGTAAGTTTTTAATTTTTGTTGCTTTCTAAATCCATGTCTAGGTGAAGAATAAGTGTGTGATATTTTTGGGGTTTGTATTCTTTCATTATTCACAAACTTCTCATGTCTTATTTAATATTGTCATTACTTGTAAATAAATGTAAATCATTAAAAAATTTCTGTTTTGTTACAATACGTCATGTTGTGTGGTATTTTCGTTACTGGTCTTATTTCTTATACTGTCTAACAGTTGAAATTTAAAACATACAAATAATTCGCTACAATTTGTGTCCTCTTCTAGTAAGTACTTTTGAATTCACAAATAAAATGTCTAGTCTTCAGTTATATTGTATTAGTTTCCAAATTTTTTTCCAAATGTGTGGTAATTCAATTAGTTTGCATGTGATTTGCTGTTTATTTTAATAATAAAAACATTTCGGATAAAAGTGCTTGGATGATTTATTTAGTGTTAAATATAAACACAAGACTGTATTAAAAATACTTATTTCTTAATAAATGCTTTTTAAACCATTGTCAAGAATGAAATAAAAAAAGTATAAACATTTGGAGTTTCAAATTAATATTTAAACAAATATGAAGCAATAAGACTTTCAAAATTGCTAGTGAGGTAGCTGGGATTAAAAAAAAAAAAAAGAAAATCAAAACCAGTTTGAACTACCTGTTAAAAATTAGAGGAGTTTCTAATGATTATCTTTCGACTCCTCCCTTTTCTTCTAGTGTTCAAACAGGTTTTTTTTTTTTCAAATATTAATCTAAATGCATTTTTTACATCACTTTTTTTCCAGATTCTAAAATTATGTAAATTAAGGGTGGTCATTATGAAATACCCTGTGTATTTTCATGAACTAATTTATTCTAATCGTTTTTTATTTTATGTAGGTTGATTAATTACACTAAGGAACTGATTTTTTTATTGCATTTATACAAAATACTTTATCGATTCGGGTGCGGGGATTTCAATTCTGAAATTAGTTTTGCCTCTGAAACTACAGATGTATTTTTTAAAATGGCATTTTTTTGTTGAAATATACAAATTCAAAAACTTTAGATATAACAGATGGCCGCGTAAATGCTGCTGTAAACTTTTAGAGTATGTATTTTTGAATTCATTGATTCAAAATTTAATAAACTACTTTTCCCGTTTATTATTATGAGCCAAAGTTAATCAGATTATCAAATCAAAGTGTTAATCTAATAAAAAAATAACATTAAAGAAATTTTTTTTCTGTTCTATGATATGTCCCCCCCCCCCATTTATATATACTTTCGTATCGCTGATTTCAAATATGCAATCGATTTCTCTCTTCGAGCTACAGTTTTTTTTTTTTTTAAATGTCATTTTTAAAATTTAATTGCTCAGGAACTATTCAGCTGATTCAATTTAAACTATTTATTTTGCCATCAGGTCGTCGGGCTACCGAAGCAGGGGGTGCCATCCCATCTGCAGAGGATCAAAATTGTGATGGCATGTCTTCGGATCATCCTCAGGGATGTTTCTCAGACCGTCGCCAATAGCCCATTGTGCCGCTCCAGAGCGACGTAAATGAACTACAACAACAAAATGATAAAAATAATAAATGTTATTGTTTGCATGAAATTATATTAGGATGAAGAAAAATTCAATTCACTTAAAATGTTCTCGAGCTATGGTGAAATACTCAAAAAATAAAATTAACGTTAATAAATAATTATTCGAAATTAAGGGCCCAAACTTCGAACCGTTCTCCTGGTATGGGACAAGCGATTGGAACCATATTTCCCAGATTGCGGCTACCCCTTATATTTTTGGACTTAGAAATCCGTATCCGTCGAAAAAAAGATATATTTATTCAGCGAAACTAAGTTATTATGTCTGATTTCATAACTTAAAATATCTTCTGCTCTAATT